CTTCAACACAATCCATGGGACTGTACCTGCGACATGCAGTGGGTTGTGGACGACCTACTGCCGCAGATGTATGCCATGAACCAGTCACATTTGTTGGCTGAACTTAGGTAAGTAATATTAACCTTTCAATGTTGGTACTTAGAGACACAATAGAAGATAAATAGGTTCGCGAACGCCGGCGTTCGCTTGGGGTCCAATTTTTCCTCTTCCCCAATCGTATCATATCTAAAATCCCTAAAATACCCAAACGACCAAAAGGTCAGCAACGCACTCGTAACTCCTCCGTGGTTGCGGGTGTCCATGGGCGGCGTTGATTACTTACCATCAGGTAATCCGCACACGGGTTTGCCGTCCTATCACATAAAAAAATCCATTCGGTAGTTTTCACGTGAAAGATTGACAAGTTTCTTATGTCTTACTTAAAAAAAAATTGTGTTTATTTAATACTAGTTTTTGCCCGGGACTGAGTTCGCGTGGAATAGTGACTTCTTGCAGATTTTTGGAATAAAAACTATCCGTTCAGTAGTTTAGGCGTGAAGAAAAGACAGACAGACAGACAGAGTTATTTTCGCATTTACAATATTAGTATGAAAGGTTATAAGTAGGACAATAACTAAATGATGATGATGCTGATGATGATAATGAATAATATGTTGTTTATTGTTCAGGTGTGGAAGTCCTCGCGCCTTCGAAGGTCTCCGACTGGTGCACTGGTACAACTGGACGGAGCGCGCAATGTGCAGTGAACAGTATTCGCGCACTGGCATGCATGGGAACTACATGGTAAGCAAACACATACAATGACCCAATCACCCTCCACATCCCCCAAAAGTCCGGCAACGCACCTTTAATAATAAGTACGGTGTTGTCTATGGTCACCAGATCATACGTTTGCAACCCTATCCCATAAAAAATTTAATCATAGCTGGTAAAGTTCATTTTTTTTGACAGGAGAAAATCATGAAATGCCTGTTCCGCTTAGGGGTTTTTTAGTCAGTAATAGTCGTTAAACCCCCGTTCCTTCTCTTACTTTAGGCCGAGGCTGCGGTGCCTCATTGCGCTTTACACCCTAAGGGCCATTTTAATATACTTTATTTTCATTCCTAAGATATTAAAAACAGATCTCCAAGAGCGATTAACTTTTATTGAGCTAGAATCAGCACATTTGATATTTTATCACTTTTTCTTAAAACAAACGTGCTGATATGTACTTATTGCGTGCGTGTGTATCTTATTCTTCGAAATAAATTTTATTGTTCACATAGTATCACGCCCTTTGTTCTCTGAAAAAGGCAGCACTATCATAATAAACCAATTCATTGCGAAATACTGTTTATTTAATTACTCTATCGGGGAACAGAACAGATGATATGTTATATTAAATTTTTAAGTCATTAGCTACTTACTCGCGGATTCACTTGTCGTCTTCTTTTGGCCCTTGTGTGATGTTTTATAGCCTTTCACGATAAATTGAGTAAGTAAGTACTGACTGCACGGTTGACACGGTGCGTGGTTGGGCAACTGGCTGCCGTGCAACATGTGGAAGATCTGATTTATCATCATCATCAGCCTATAAGTGCTTACTGCTGAGCAAAGGCCTCTTCTCATACCGAGAAGGTTAAAGCATTAATCACCACGCTTGCTCAATGCGGGTTGGTGATTTCAAACTTTATAATTAGAAATTATAAGTCCAGGTTTCCTCACGATGTTTACCTTCACCGTATGTCAGTGGTGTCTAAACAATCATAGAAAGTAAGTACATATAACTCGGAAAAAGTCACATTGGTACTTGCCAGGTTTCGATCCCACACCGTCATGCATGAGAAGCGGGCTCCATAACCTCCGAGCCACCACGACATATGCCGTGCAACATGTGGAAAATCTGATTCCTGCATGGAACAAATCTTCCTGTGATCCATAAATAGTCCGAACCAGCCCAGTAATTCATAAGATTAACGCGCTCAAATAATTTTGATAGTAGATTTTAATGCATAATTGTCTTCTCTCTTATTTCAGCTGGAACCATCGACGGAGGACGGACTACAGAAGTTTAGTTCCCTAACAATAATATTAGGAGTATGTATCATAGTAACGTTGCTGATAGCTATAGCGCTCGCAGTGTATTTGGTGAAGACCCGCAAACAGTACCGCGTACGTCGCGCGGCCATGCGGAGAAAGCGACAGAGTGCCGCCGACGTAGCTAACGGACATAAAGAACAATTCACCAATTTAAATACTAGTAAAGTTTAATGTAATTCGTTTAGGACTGATTTTTCAATGGTTAGATAAAAGTTTTCTGGGGAATAAGTATGATGCTGTCGCGTCAGAATGTGTGTATTAGACAGTGACAGCAACAATTTTATTCCTCAGATATTATTTATCTGACTGTTGAAAATATCTTTGTGTGACCCACAAATTGTTGTTCCGAGTCTGGGTGTATGTAGAATTGTGGGTTTGTTAAACGCAACCACGTCATAGGAGAAAGTCCTAGTGTGGGGCATGTTTTTTTGAAAGAGTATTTTTTTTGTAGAGAAAACTTGTATTTTTAAATTTAAAATTAAGTAGGCGGTTATGAAAAAAGTTTTGAAGAACAAATGAGATTATTTTTTTTTATAAAATATTTAGTTACAATAGCCATATACAGTATGGAGTATGTTGATATATTTTACACAGATTATGTGAGTAATAACAGTATTCATAGCTGCGTTGGAGTGTTGGAGAGCCATGTTTCGGCATTAATAGAGAAAAAATAACAACAAAATAAATCTATAATAAATCCACAGAGAAAACAAATAATTTATTTTTAAGTCAAGTGTCAAGTGCCAGTTGATACCATTTCGTTTACTGCCTAAATACCAAAAAAAGAAGATTCAATTAATAATTTAGATTCGTATTATTTCCAATCTCATAACAAGCCATGTTGTTATCCTGCAGAAAGCTCAAGAACATTCGTTCAGAAGGCTGCTGAGTCTACTTCGTTGCACGTTATAGCATATTCTTAGTGGACCCAAATATTTTTGTAACCAATAGGTATCAATTTTCCATATTATCAACAATTTGCTAGTTGTAATTGTTTAAACCTCTTTTCAGTATTAATACAATAATACGCCTCTTGTAAGAATTAAACAACGGCTGTATGTATGTATAATAAATCCTAAGCCAATCAAGTCATTGTTTTTGTATAAGTTTTGTACAGTCAGCATCAAAAATCGATGAACACATTCAGATTTTCAAATTATATATCACTCATAAATGACCTACTCGAACAAGATAGTTCCACTATTGAATTGACATCATTCAAGTTCAAAATTAACTGAAAACTACTAGTCAAATGTAACTGAACACTATTTTATATTAGTTTAAAAATCTAAATGTGTTCATCAACTTTTGATGCTGACTGTACAATTGCCAATGTTTTAAACCTACCTTTTAATATGTAATTTAAAGTAAATAGTCAATTATTGAGTGTACGTCGCGGGGATGTCAGCTGCGCGCCAAATAAGGGTCCCGTAGTGACTTGAAACTAGTAGAGCTTTTCTCGATTAATTAAAGTAAGTCATTATTTTCAACTTTATTATGTCTCATAATAAAGATAGTATACAGAAATAGATTATATTATTATTATTATAATATAATACATGGTTTCCTATAACACCAAATTAATATAAAACTGTGCCCAGTGTATGACATCGCCTCCTTGTAGGAACGAGTAGCATATTGAACCTTATGCTGTATAATTTTATGAACGACTATTAAGTCACACGCAGGCTACATCAGTGGTAATATTGGTAAACGCAAAAGATCACGTAAATACAGACTGGTTTTGCTACAGTTACTTGAATATAAGCTCTATTCTAGTACATGTAAAATTGGTTTTCAAACTACTGGTGTTATCACTGATGTTCTGTATTTGTACGATAGTAATAATTATAATTAGTTGAAAAATGCTGTGCAATGCTATGTTAGAGACTTACCGCCGTACTCAGAGTCATTTAATGGTTACTTAAGTCAGACTTAAGCTTTAGTTTTTGAAAAATGAAAGCTAATAATATTATTCTTTATTTCACAATCTTATAAGCTAAGTTCCACAAAACCCTTCAAAAGGTTTCCAAGTAAGTAATCATTAAATAATACTAAGTACAGCTGTTAGAAAATGTTTTATATTCGAAATAATTATGTAAATACATAATTTTATTATTGTTTATCCATTTAGAAATATTCTTAGCACCTTTGAAATAAAAGAACACAGGTAGCTTAGCAAGCTAGTAGCTGAGCAAGGTAGATAAGTGATTTTCTTTGTACAAAAACTGGTTCATATTCAATCAAAGGAGTTTTTATAAGCAATATAAACTTAATTACTTCGTATGTGGGTAAGAAAATAAACTTTGATCCAGCACACACTCAAGTATCCTCGACGACGGTTGTAAGTATAAGAAAAAACCAACGGTTAAAATGGCTTTGCTGAACATCGAAAAATGTAATTTAAACAACGAAAATGGAAATTAAATAAAACAATAAATATATCTTCTTCGTTCAACCCTGTGGTTTCCAACTAGTCTTACTTTTAATTGAAATGTCAAATACTATACTTTTGTATAAATTTCGTATGAAATCCCAACAGATATTACGACGTCATAATGTTTTTACGTCACATAGCAAGATTTTTTATACAAAATCTAATAAAACTAATTTACATCGTCAAATCAATGAATGAAAGTATGATAATAAATTTATAATTCATTGTATTGAAAAGTCAAAACAATTTATTTTGTACGTTTTAGACCAGTCAATTGTTAGATGTATAATATACCTATACTAAATCAATTTTCTTACCCGCACACCAAATAATTAAGCCAGCTAAAATAAAAAAGTAAGTAAATTAAACTTTAAAGCAATAAAAAATATAAGTATTGTAAAATATTAGTTATAATACATAAGTTTTACTATAAATATTATATTGAGAATTGTTTTAATAAAATATTTATATGACAGTGTTGTTTTCATCTTCGAAGTGGGTTGATGATATTCCGTATTGTTCCCGGGCCGTTCCATTTACCTTTGACCAGCGAGTTCCAATATATGTACGGGAACACGTATTTGTCCATTTGATATATTAGCCGATGTTCTTTTGCCTGGAAATTATTATTTTTAGAAATTCTAATCAGGTAATTGATTTATGAACCTAAACAATTATCATCATCATTATCATCATCAGCCTGATATCGTCCACTGCTGGACATAGGCCTCCCCATTTGCACGCCACTGAGCTCGATGTTCAGCTCTTCTCATCCAATCGCTGCCAGCCACCCTGCGGATGTCGCCAGCTGGAGGGCGCCCTTCACTACGGTTACCTAGACGTGTTTTCCACTCTAGAACACGTTTACCCCAACGGTCATCGGTTCTTCGACAGATGTAACTTGCCCAAAGCTACTTCAATTTGCTAATCCTTTGGGCTATGTCGATAACCTTAGTTCTCTATCCGATGTTGCAGGTAAATATTTAGTAATGTTTTCAACGTATGAAAATGTAGAAAGCATCAGTGCCGGCGTAAGGGCCACTGACACCCCGGGCGAAACTATATTGACGCCCACTTCAGGGTAGCAATATCAAGTGTTAGTTTTTTGCTGATCGTGTTGATATCGTTAGAGTTACTCCTTGACAACAAAAACCCTCAAAAAATCCATCTTAAAAAAAAATCCATAAAAAACATGCATATGTACAGAGCGTAGAGCACAGTTCTGAGGGTTTGCACCAAGAAAGGCAAGAGACACCAACTGCAGGCCTTGGCGCCCTCCAGAATTTGTCGCCCTGGGCCATCGCCCCATCACGCCCCCCCCCCCCCCCCCTAACGCCGGCACTGGAAATCATAGTTACCTACCTATAATAAGTTGACATAAATGTGCCTATCTCATAAAAAAAACACATAAAATAAGACCTAAGCCTTAACTATGGATTAATATACAAGGCCTGATGAAAGACCCCATACAAATTAGCATACCACTCTTTTAAGTTCTCAAAAAGATAATAGATGGCGCTGAGGAATTAAATCAAAATCGATTATTTTTATCAAATCTAGTGAACACGGAGTAATTATTTATTGCTTTATGTAATGCCAGCTTCTTCTTACGGCTTCGCCCGCGTAGTATGTTGTTAAAAGCCTGTGTTAATCCAGGGACCTATACATAGATGTTCCAAATTTTAACCAAAGGCATTCAATTGTTTTTGCGTGAAAGAATAATAAACATACATCCATACCTTTCTAATTTGTAGAATTAGTAGGACTATAACTATACCTGATTAAAAGGAAACGTCTCGCATATTTTCTTGTCGTACATGAACTCTGCAAGTAGTCCTTTCTTGTAGGAAGTGATGAGAGGACAGGCGCCATACCCGTTGTACTTAGCAGATGGGCGTTTGCTATCCATCACGTCGCTAAGATTCCGTCCTACTACGAAGCTTTGTGGAGCTGATGGTAAGCAGGAAATGGTTTGGATTATTTAAAGTAAGTTTTTGGAAGATGTAGCTCTGGATTCCCGCAATACGCCAACTACAGAACACGTTCTTCTTCTCTCATCATCTCATCTTTATTTCCGTTATGCACTAAGTAGAGAATGTCCATTTTAAGTAAGATTTCCTTTATGTCAAGTTAAAATAAAATTGCGACCATATTTTACCTGACTGTTTCTGCAACCTAGTCGCTTGACGTCTTCTGTTTTAGTGAGTACTAGATATGTAGATACGGTATACATTTGCCCATAAGCCGATAGTGGTGTAGCTTAATTTGTAACAAATAGTGGAACTAAAGTAACATATCCCGGTCAGGCTTAACATTAACCTTTCAAATAGCATTTTTCTTTAAGTTTTTCTGGTGGTAAACAATCAGCGCCGCCCGTGGACATCCGCAACACCATAGCAGAAAGAAAAGTTACGAGTGCGTTGCCGCCCTTTTGCAGACTAGGGTTTCGGAGAGTTTAGGGATCAGAGAAGCTGACGTCTTCGGCCGGTATCACTACGGTCGAGCCGACCCATTCGTGCATGACTCTCCTGTAACTATACTTATTATACATATTGAATTTCTCACTCACCAACTGCAGCAGCAGTCTTGCTATTAGGCGTACACGTGCAGTCCCCCAGCCCGAACACATTAGGGTACCTCTTATGTTGCAACGTGTTCACATCCACGTCCAGATACCCGGTGGAGTTGGTCAGCTCCCCACAGCTCTGCAGGCAGTACTGAGGAGCCATTGGCGGGGTCACGTGCAGCATGTTGTACGGGAAGCTTATTGTCTGGAAGAGAAGGTTGAAATACGTGGGTTTTTGGGTGAAACCCGATGTGTTGTGATTTCTCCCGTATTGTAAGCGGTACATATCATATAAATAAATAAATAAATTATCAATAAACTATCTTCATGCTATCCCAAAAAACTTACGTGACGCAAGGTGCATATATGCAATTATATAACACTAGCTACTCTCACGCGGTTTCACCCGCTGCTCGGCTCCATTTGATCTTAGCGTGATGTTTTATAGCCTATAGCACTCAGGAACATTGTAGCTATCTATCAGTGAAAGAATTTTGGCAATCCGACCAGCGGTTCCAAAGACTACCCCCTACATACAAACTTACAAACTTTATAATATTAGTATAGATGTACCTAAATTATTTTAACTAATAACTTAAATGTCAGTAATTTCTTACTCATTTTGCTAAGTATTAGGTATTAAAGGCTCCTGCAGAATATGCGGAACAGTAAAATAGCTACCTACCTAACTTAAATTTTATTTTATGACATCTGATTATATCCTCGAAAAGTTATTCAATGACAATCTCAATGTAATCCCTTCATAAATGGGATTGATAGCCGTCGTTAAACTTTAATTGTTACAAGCCTAACTAATAAAATTAGGGATCTTGACTTATTTTTATTACTATTTTATTGGACATTGTTTTGTCACATTGGTTTAGGGTCTCAAGGGCTATGGAAACTTTGAACTGTCATTGTCATATAGGATGTATCGTAATCATATCAAGGTTTATAATAACCCATTAACCTTGAACCTACCTATATTTTTACGACTAATTTCACCGGAGTATATACCGAATTGAATATCATCGAAAAAGTTCACAATTTGTACAAAGTTTTTGTTTTGAAGTGTGTGAAAGCCATGCTTCGGCACGAGTGGTTCGGCTCCACCGGATTGATATAACGACCTTACAGAAAATAGGTGTAAAACAATCACAGCGTTGTGTTCCCCTCCCTAGCCTTACCCTCCCCCAATCCCTAAATATTCAAATCTCTAAAAGGTCGGCAACGCACTCGTAACTCATCTGTTGTTGCGGGTGTCCATGGGTGGCGCTGTTTGCTTACCACCAGGTAATCCGTATGAACGTTTGCCGACCTACCACATAAAAAACGTTTCTGGTTTCTAGTGTAGGAAAGCCGTGCTTCGTTTCGGTTCGATGATAACACGGGGCTCAAAGAAAACAGCGTTGTATTTCACTGTGTGATTACGGTTAAGGCACTCCTTCCACTAGGTACCAATCTCTAAATCTGCGAAACCCTAATTCCCTAAAGAAAACGCTTTTGTTAGTGTAGCGCCGCTTGCTTACCTTCCGGTACTGCGGATGCTCGTTTGCAGCCCTATCAAATACGAAAGAAGCTGATTATGTATAATGGGTCGGCAAAAGTGATTGATAAATCTCCTGTATTTACTCCTTACCTCTCCGCCAGGCCCCATAAACACGGCTCCCTTAGGCGACACCTCCACTAGGTCAGCTTCATAGTTAGACACGACGCCGCGACTGCTAGCCAACGATCTAATAACATCTGCATATTTCGGTACACCAAACATGTCTTCCGCTCCAGTATTGTACGTAATATTCGTCTTGTCTATATTTTTTTTCTGCAAAATGTAGATACTTAAGGTTTATACTTATAAAGGTTCTTTGTACCTATCTATGTATGTCTTCAAGGTACTTATGTCTTTTTGGACATAATATCGACAAATAAACAAACTAAAAACTTGGCACTCCTCGATCAGTTCAAATATCAGCCATTGGGATTAATCGGTTGGATGTAGACGTGAAAATTGATATTTAATAAATATAGGTATATCTTAATCAAGCAATTTATTCGTCTTTTATGAGAAAAACCACCGTTTGAATTTGTACCTATGTGATTTATTTTGATGCCAAAATATTTTAATATTTTAAAACAGTCTGGTGTTATTTTATGTCCGCCAACACCAATTAGTCAGCCGATATTCACCTATTACTAGAATATTTCCTTCCTTCCCAGAACTACCAACCTAGATGCTACAGTGACACACCTCTGCTGGGCAAAAAATAATCCTTGAAACATTTACCTAATTGGTAGAAAATGTATGGCATTATGGGAAAACCGCAGTAAGAAAGCATTATATTTATTGTAAACATTTACTGAAGACTGTAAACAAGATGAACAACTACATGATGTAAGACAATCATTAGGTCATTTACATTTCTACTATAAGGAATACTGCCTCGCCGCAGTTTCTTCCTCGTGATCATGACTGCAGTTTATTCATACAATTATCCATTTAACTATTGAACTAAGGCAAGTTAAAAGAGATTTTTTTAGTAGGAGAATCACTTCTTACGCCCTAAATGGGGCGAGAGAGTCAGACTCTTATTGACTAAAAACTACCCCGTTCCTTGTCCTGCACCGGGCGGGGGTCTCAGTACGTTATTACATCGCAACCCCGTTATGTTAAAAGGGTAACTAAAATTAGATCTGAGTTTTAGACCCAAGTAAAAAGAGATACATATTATACATATTAATTGATAGTATAAGCTTGGTACTTTCAAAATAAATCAACATCGGGATGTATCAGCTGACCGAGTTCAGAACACAAGTTTGTAAGAGTCTGACACACTCTCTCCACCTACGACTGCCACGCTGATCTTCCCCTTCAAAAAAGGGGGCTTTTTATTAACAATAGTCTGTCTTGTATAGATACAATTACAATACAATTAGTCTGTCTTGAAAACGAGAAGTTGAAGACCTGGATATGATGCAGATGCTCCCTGAAAGTAACCCTCCTGACTCCCATGTATGAATGTATGTAGGTACTTTTTGTCAGTCTCAGAATCAAAACTAACCTTTTTCCAATAATCTTGCGCTAAGAACATTATCTTTACAGCAGCACCGGAACATTTACCACCTTTTACGGGGAACGTGAACAACGCATGTCCACCTGAGAAGTTCTTTATATTGTCCCAGGTTTTGGAACAGTACATTGGAGAGTAGATGGTGGAGACAGGGCAGTTAGGATTGTCTAGTGCTTGTTCTAGGCCTATCACCTAGAGGAAACAGAAATTCTACATTTAAATAAAGTGGAAATTGTCCTACTCGTAGATTACGATGAGTATTTGATTCAGAAGCATTAAGTGAATAAAAAAACATTATTTGCAGGGCCCAATAAAGGTTTTTTCAAACTTCATTGGATTTCTTTGTCACAGTACTAGTATAAGAATCTTAGAAGATCTTAATATGTAGTTCAGGTCGGCTCTCGATAAGGTAGGTAGATAATCAAACACACAAAAGTCAAAATTGCGTTCAGAATCCAGACTTATACATACCTTGTCATAATCATTCCTGATGCCCACAGCGACCACCATGTACTCATAGTATATCTTGTCCCCGTTCCCCGTGACCACCAGGTTTGTGTTAGGATCGAAGCATTCAGCCCTGTCTTGTATCCACGTGATGCTGGGCGGTAGGATGCTTGAGAGTGGCTTACACGTCTGGTTCATCTTTTTTATACCAGCCCCTACCATCGTGAAGGCTGGTTGATAGTAGTGTGTCTGGGGAAACGTGTCTATTTTGTGAACTTGATTATGCTTTACAAATTACCTTTACATGACCACCCAAACGAACTCCGATGGCAATTGTAGATACCTAAATATAATAAAGCGATAATGACATTAGTGTGGGAGAGCCAAGGTTCAGCACGAATGGCTCGGCTCAACCGGAATAATACCACGGCCTCACAAAAAACCGGTATCAACAACCAGAGCGTTATGTCTCGCCGAGTGAGGTTACCGGAGGCCCAATTCTTACAATTCCATTTCAGAAATTGATGAGGGTGGCCCTCCTCAATTTCTAATTATCCAAAACCCCTTATCCTCGACAGGCCGGGGACTCACTCGCAACTTCCATGGTGAGGCGGATGTCTATGGGCGGCGTTGAATGCGTAACATCAGAGCCAAGATATTCTATGGTTTATTACCCTACAAGGTTCCAGCATAATGATAGGGTCCCTCTTCAGTTTGCGGGCGAAGCGCCACGCGATGCTGCAGCCGCCGGCGCCGCCTCCGACCACCAGCAACTTGCATCTGGTAATGAATGCCATAATGAAGAACTTTCAAATAAACTAGCTTACTAGCTAAAGAAATCGTGACCTCGTACAGTGGATATGCCACCTCCCCATCAAGAAGTATTGAAGTCTTATAATTTTATAACACGGTACGCCCACTGCCAGAACTAGGTATCTACTTTCAGGAATGCTTGATACGTCTCTGCTTCCATTCATCCTCCTAGGATGTGTTACATATCACGTTTAATTTTGTCTTTCTTCATAGTTAGTTGCTATTATTGTGATATAATTTCAGTCCTAAGTCTCAGTTTAGATAATCAGTCACTATATTTTGTTCAGAGATTATATAAGTGAGGCCATTTCAATTAAGGTTGAACCACTTCCAACATTTTCACCAACTAGAGATTGTATTGGTCATACAAAGCATCGGTTAAAACTTGAACTTGAAACCAATTTACCAATCATTTTAATTACTTACTATTTAATTTGGTACCTACTTGCTTTAAGTAATTTCTCCTAATTCTGATACATGATGATATGAAGTTCCCAAATACTCACTGATAGGTCTTCTTTGAGGGGCAATACCACCGCACCGCATCTTTGGTGTAAGGAGCGAGTCTTTTGAAGACTGCACTCATATTATAATATTTTTTTTTATCTTTTATTAAAATATTTATTCCGCCATTTTCACTTCATAATTTTGACTGAGCGACCAACTCGATTAAGAATAGATTGACTAACAAATACTTATTTTGTGCACAATTGACTAAATAGACTTTTGTTATTAAAATTAAAATCCGTATTCCAATCTGATAATGATTTTTTATAGGATGATAGGTAGATAATGGTAAGGGCAAACGAGCAGACGGATTACCAGAAAGTAAGACTAAAACAGCCGCCATCGTGTTATAAATGTTAGGGGGTCAGCGATTTGAGTATTAGTTCTGTATAACTAACCGTACTCAACAGAATAAAAGTAGCTGAATACCAGTTGTTGTTGAACGTGACGTTCCTTTTTATAACTCCCGGAACAAAAACGACGAGGTGCAATTTTAACACATTCAGTGCCTCAGATTCGCCCAGAGAGTCCACGTAAATTCTATTCCAACGTCGTAGACTCGCCTGTCGAGTTCAATGTAAAATGTACGAGAAATTGGCGGCATCCGAGATATCATTGTGAAAATCGTAGTGGTAGGCTCAGAATACAGATTGTTCTGTATTCTGAGGTGGTAGGTAATGAAAGTGTTCCATAAAACATTACCCCACACTACGATTTTCCCAAGGTCGAATACGTCGTAGGTAAGTATCAGTTTGAAAGCCTGTAAACTCTGACAATTGGCTATATCTATAGCAATCTATGCATATCAGATTCTTATGTATATTTTTCAAAATTTGGTTTTTGCTATTCATCATTATCCTTAGCCTATAAGTGCCCAAGGCCTCTTCTCCACCACGCTTGCGCCAAACGGATAGGCGATTTCAAACTTATGATTAGAAATTATAAGTCCAGGTTCCTCACGATGTTTTCCTTTACCATGTCACACCTTGTCTAAACAATCATGTTATTATAAAGTTGATACTTATGTAACTTAGAAAATGCTGTGACATTTAGGTAATTTTATTGTTTTTTTTTAATTGAAGGCAAAAAACAAAAATGGAATAAAAAACATTTTATAAACGAATTTATTTATTTATAACAATATAACGAATGTATACAAAACTTCTTTATTTACATATAAACATTTTTATTTTATATAATCGAAGTTGCAAAGTAACTGATTCGTAGAAACTTTTTCGCCCTTATTACAAACTAAGGTTTTTCTTGATTTTAGGTCTAAACCATTCAGCCAGTTCTTGAATTGCGAATTAGACTCTATACTAGGTCTAAACCATTGAGCCAGTTTTTGTATTTCGAATTAAAAGTACGTGTGAATAAGATTCAAAATTCAAAACCTAACTCACTGGTTTAAAGCTAGACCAAAGATACATCTTGTTAAACGGTTTTATATAAGAGGAGGATAAAACTCAAAAGTGAAAAATTAATTATAAAATCACAGTGTACACGTTTTTACATCAATCCATAGACCTGATTCTAAGAAACTTGATTCTGATCTAAAAACATATTCTAGAAAAAACAAGTTACCACTCAAGCAAATAGAGTGCTTACTAAAGCTGAAATTCTTTCAGAACGCAAATAATGTACATATCTTCTTTAATGAAACGAAAAAGTAAATATATTACTATCAAAAATATAATATATTATTTCGTCGTAATGCAACCATCTCCTTCAAGTCATTACGCTTCGAAACTCAGCAGTAGGCATTACGTAGTAGTCAATGAAATAATTAATGTTTCAGTTAAATCAGTATCAAAACTCTTTCTAGAAAGAGAGTTATAAAAGGTGTATAGCTCCATCCCTCTTTCTCGCCCCGTAGATTGACGATCCACTTTTACTTTCACTTTTGGTATATTTCCGGACGAGAAAGAGGGATGGAGCTATACACCTTTTATAGCTCCATCCTTCTTTCTCGGCCGTAAGATACACGCTTTAACACGCCATGGTAGGCCTACAGTTGTTTTTAGATGAGCTATCGTTTATACAAAAATTTTGGTTATTTTTTTAAGGGTTAGGGAACAAACTATCAAACGTTTTATTTGTTTGATAGAAAGGAATCGGCGACACATAAAAGTGTTTCTACATCTTTTTGGGCGCCTCCAGTGACTTTCCTCCTTCCTAATAGTAAGCGTAATAACGCAATCGTAGTTTCAAGCCATTTAAAGACTACCCACGTATTAACCTACTGCTTGATTTTAAGGCGAATAACTGAAGAGATGTACACAGTGAGCACTAGGTTTACATTTCCATAAAAAATAAACTTGTCAAATAGCATGCAACGCTTTTAGCGTTACAAACTATATAATGTTACTCTTAATTCTTTTAACACTACATTACAAGGTTTAAACTACATAACGACACCATTATAACTACGAAACGCCATAAAAACCATAGAGCTGAAGATGCCTGACATCTATCACTTTGACATCTGTCAACATGACATTTAATATATATTTTCCTCTTTACGAGTACCACGTAAAAATCAGAATCAAAAGTGTTTTAATTTTAAATCGACACTTGAATGTGCGAATATTTTTAAATGTCAAAGTCCTTATAGTCATTTCGAGTACATATTATCAAATGTCGTTAATGCTTAGCTCCTTGAGAATGGGTGCATTATTTTCCTCATTGTCTCCGGCCCGTGGTAGTATCCCTTTACCATTAGATGCCAATAAATGGCTGGGAAAACAAATCTCTTCATGTAGAACGCAATCACGCTTTCTGAAGCCTGTTGACAAAAAAAAACGATTATTAGCTAAATCGTATGTCTCGTAGTAGACGGAAACGGACTGATTATAATGATTTATATAATAGTTCAAGAAGTAAAAGGAAAAAGTATTTTTTACCGGACTAAATTTTTAAGTTAAAAATCATGAGAGTGAACGATTTTAATGAAACTTGAGTCTATTACGAAAATTTTCGCAAACGAGTTTAGTGAGAGAATTTTTTATGTTTCTATACACCTCACGTCTAACTTAGAAGAATTAAAAATCCTGAATTTACAAAACAAGTTTTCTCTATTAACGTAATCCTTTTTAAAGTGAAAAATCCAGGCTGCGCAACCCAGGCCAGGCATTTGCCAGGCCACCCTTTTGAGCTCAATCTGTGTCTCGTGAGGTCTGATGGCTCCTTGATGTGAAGCGCCATACGCTCCTGGTACTCTACTACTCTACTACACTGGCCACTACGAGTTACATTGGCTCCCTTGAATTTTTTAGCGGGCTTTTCGCAATAAAGAAAACAATCTATGCCTAATATTATAAAGCTGAAGAGTTTGTTTGTTTGAACGCGTTAACCTCCGGAATTACTGGTTCAAATTGAACAATTATTTTTTTACAGGCTATAAAACATCACGCTACGATCTGTACGAGCAGAGCAGAATTGAAATCGCGTGAAAGTAACTATTATTTAATTTTAATATTTACCTGGTTAAAAGGTAACGTTTCATGTGGTATCCCGCCGTAGACAAACTCTGCGAGAATACAAGTATTGTATGACGTCAGTAGGGGACACGCGCCGTACCCGTTGTATTTGAACTTAGGATCGTCCTTCTTCATCGTGGCCAGGAGATTGTTTTCCAACACGTAGCTTTGTGGGGCTGTAACAATGTTGAAGCAAGGGTTTTATATGTTAATAAAGTATTTCAAAATAGACTTCATTATGACCTGCCTCCCTACATTATAAAAGCAAAATTGTTTGTATTTAGGTAACAGGTAGTACGGGTTTTGATTTGGGGATAGTTGGCAGGGTTAAGACAGACATATTATTATGATTGTTTCAATTTTAGTGGCGATTGTTTGTGATCATAAGTGCCATAGACTCGAAACACAATATTTTGGACACACCAGTGATTAAAATTTTTCCAGAAAAAACGCACTTTGTTTTTAGGTTTTTAGGGTGTGGTGCAACCGATGATTAGGGTCTCATTATCTTAGTTGCTACTGATCGAAGAGATGTGAACCGGCTGGCAGACACTGGTAAAATGAAATATAAGGCTCCAACTCACCGATAGCAGCAGCTGTCTTGCTGTTCGGTGTACTCGTGCAATCTCCAATACCATAGATATTGGGATATCTATTGCTCTGTAGTGTAAACTTGTCTACGTCCAAGAAGCCATTTTCATCAGTCAACTTCTGGTTACTTCGCAAGAAATCCGGCGTCTTCATTGGGGGCGTTACATGTAGTATCGAGTAGTCCATCACTATATCCTGTTTTTAAGAGATAAAGTCAATTCGATTTTGCACCTTATGCCAGGTTAAAACAAATACGATAATTAATTAACTAAACTCAACGTAGTGACCTAGATTTGAATTTTAAGAGTTCGTTTTTGAAAATTCTTAGCGTCAGGTCGTAAAGTGAATGTTGAATATAGAGTTTATAAGGATATACTTAAAGAATTCAAATCACTACATAAAAGTAACCACCAAATAATTTTGTAACTGAAAATAAACTCTCAACTAAATAAAATAAGGTTGAAAATAACACTCACCTCGGACATTCGTTCTTTGTTGTAAAAGACAGCCTCTTTCTTTTCCGGCCTGACCTCTTTGAGTACAGTTTTGTAATTCACATTGATGTTTTTCCTCTTCACGACCTTCATCAGCTCTTCAGCATACTTAGGAACACCGAAGATAACTGGGAGGCAGGTGTTGTAGTAAATATTGGTTTTCGAACGAACGTTGGTCTGGGGAAATAGAAAATATTTAGCTTTTATCCTTCCTAATAATATAAGTGCTAATGTAGGTATGTTTGCTGGTCGCTTCGTATATTTAAGGCCCAATCCTTCCCCTTCCCGGACCCTTCCCCAATCCCTAAATCTCCAAATCCCTAATCCCTAAAAAGTCGGCAACGCACTCGTAACTCCTCCGTTGCGGGTGTCCATGGGCGGCGTTGATTGCTTACCATCAGGTAATCCGTATGCTCATTTGCCGACTTATTACATAAAAAAAAAAAAATTTACTTTTACAACTATCTATGTAAATTACATAGTTGTTTATATGGAAAGATAATTAATTGTGGCTTCAAAATTTTCGACAAGCAATAATTCCCCTCGAACGAATATTCCAAGATAAAAATTAAGTTAATCAGTTTATCTGTTTCTGAGTTTGAGCATGCCACTAACCAAAAATAATTCATTTTTAATACAAGACTTGCTAACCGGTCAAACTTAAGACCGCCGCAAATATATTCATTATATAACTAATATTTCATTTCTTTATATTTAGGTTTTTTTACCTTTTAACCTTCCCTGTATATCCAGAAATATTCCAAGAGTCAGACCACGGGAAACTGGTCCATTCTTTCTCGAGTTTTAGCAAGATTTTTATGTTACATAGATAGAAAGACAGTTGTGTCTCTAAACGTCATTATTTACAGACAGACACGAGGAAACACAAATCAAAGTTTTATTAACAATGCAAACATTTGCAGTCTGTAGAAGCATTCATAAATATTGACCACTTTGGAAGTACGCCACGACTGTAAACTTCTGGATGTTTTAAGTACAGAACAGTATTATGTAAAAAGAGGTCATAGTCCAGTAATGTCATGGGTTGTTGGGAGGTGACTGTCACTTATTAAACGCAAAAAATATAAATCAATGGAGTACGAATTTCTTTTATGTATATAAAAGACACTGTAGCTGGGCGGTAGTTCAATGCAGAAGGCAAGGAGCAAGGTTTTTTAGTCCAATAGAGACTGATACTCCTTCCCGCCGAACCCAAGAATTTCCCACCTCACAAAAAGATATTCATTGTTTGTGGCGTGACACAGAAAGGGCTTTCGAACAGTGATGATATTCCACGGTACACTCTAAGTTTTACAGTTTTTTTCTTTGATACAATAATGTGTATAATACATAAATAAAGTAAATTATGTGCAGTGACAAAAAAATCTTTCTCAAAAAAGTCTCTAATGAAGACTTGTAGCAGTAGCTATCTCTTGAAATAACATCAAACGCTTAGCGCCTTAGCATAACATTGAGAGTTTATCATAAGGGAAAAATACTGTAACGTACCGTTGTTATACAACATATACCTCAACAAACATACGATAAAGTGATACACAATAAACTGAGCATATGATTGGACATAACATTAATTACCACATTCACTCTAATTTCCAGAATCTATATACATACCTATTAATACATACTTACATAAAACCTGAAAATTGTATTTCTTTGTTTGAATTTTGAACGCAAATTCACCGAACTAGTATTCGAAATTCTTTGTGGATCAAATCTTTGTGGATAATCAATTTATGGAGAAAAGCTATCAAACATCACGCTATGACCAATAGGCGACGCGCAGGGTTAGCTAGTAATTTTATAAGAACAAGAACACTTACTCTCATTCCTAGAATCCTACTTATATTATAAACACGAATGTATGGATGTTTGAAACTCTTTCATGTTAAACTACTGAATGGAATTTGGTAGGGAGAGATTATTAGTCTGTAATAACGTTTTTGCCCTAGTATTATGAGCCAAGCCGCAGTAATTCCAAAATAGATATACCTATTTCAGTTCAAAGTAGGGGTAAATCTCATAAACTTCCTTTTAGTATTATACTGTGCGCATCGTTCTATGAAATTATAATAATAGAATCGCAACTATTACGTCATCCATCAATTCAACGAATGGATAATTTACTCGACGACAGTGTATGCCAGTTTCTTTATTGCCTCTGAGCCATTAAACCGCTTTATTCGACTAGTGATCATAACATGCTTTTGATGGGTTAGGTTAGCAAACGAAAATACAAGTCAAGCTGATGGTAAGCCATCAGTCCACGTCCATGGAAACCCGCAACTCCAGAGGAGTTGCATGTTCTTCTTTATTGCCTTTTGGGGTTAATGGATTTGATGACAATAAACAATTGATATATGAGAAAAACATTATAATTTAATGATAGGATTTATGTCACAGATCACAACTAAAACAATTCGATATTAATTATTAAAATGCAAATAAAACAATATCGATCAATATTGATTTTTTAAATCAAGACATTCCTTGGCATTCACGCCTTTTGCCGAATAAACATTTTTCATTATATTTCATTTTATTCATTTCAAGACAACAAAAATATAACAAAATATTAATTTAACTATTTTAATAAATTAGACAATACGACAGTCGGACGCGATTGTTTTTATTGGTTTTCGGCCCCATATATTTCCTTTATCGGAGCGTTAAGATTTATATATCAGTAATGAAATCAACTACCTACTTTTCAGACTTTTGACCTTTATTGTATTTAAAATAAAGTGCACAATAACGGTCCAAAGCCCCACAAAAAACAAACTATAGCCCAAGAAGATAAAGTAGAAATAAATTTACTTATTAATGCTGAGAACGTTTTTTAAGATAATTGAATCATGTTTTGCAGAAATATGTACTTGAACAAAAAACACAAGTAGGTTTCAAACTCGTTCATAAACATAAAGGTATTCTTATAAATATTTATGTGAAGTCTAGTAGAATTAAGAGAAACTTCTTTCTTTAAATTCGTTCTATCCTTTAAAGAATGTAAAGAAACCGAAAATTTAAAACAATTTGGTAAACAAGAATCAAGTGTTTCGCCCTGTGAGTGAGGTGATCGGAGGCCCAATCCCTCACAATGAAAATTGTCCCAGCCATAGATTATAGTCTAGAATAAAACATAGGCAACTATTATTATCCGGTTAACAATTTCTATAAATATTATGTTAAACTTTGTATATAAATAAAACGAAAGAGTTTTAACGGTCATCATTAAATAACGCATTTGTTTAATATTATCATGTATAAACTCACATTGGCTCCATTCAACCGCCACTGTTACTCCAAGCAAACAATGGTTGTTATCAAGCAAAAATTGTAATAACTACCTAAAGACTTGTAGTATGTACGTATATGTAAGACTCGCAACACTAGTAGCTAAGATCTCGAGTTAGATCAATCTCTGCATGAGACAATTAAATTATTGATGTGTCAGTTTTATTTTTATTTTTAGATAATATATTTTTATATTATAGATTTTGTTTTACCTATAGATTTTGTTCCTCATGGCTCTTCTGGCTATGATATCATAACCAGTTTAGTATTATTTTTTTGTTTTATAAATATATATCATAATGAAATCTGGAAGTAGCTAGGTGTACGAGAATAAAGTGCAGTTACGAGCAAGCATTGATAGCCAAACGATGCCTTAAACAAAATTATTATATAAATCTAGACAGTCAAATTAAAGAAGAAAAGAAGAAATAATTCTATGTCTCTGTCAAACCATGTGGTCGTATTGGACGTAGAGCGGAAGCGTTCTGACATTGACAATTCCCGAAAAACGCTGACTCATTTATTTGGATAACATTAACAAACACGTTTCCATTATATTATACCGATTCAGCCTGTGCTTTTCCATACACACTAACTGTATTTACTTATCACAAACACATGCACACGACACCCTCAGTCTTCGATTAGATAGATATCGATATTTATGATGAGTAATTGTGTGACAATCTAACTTGATTGGGGGGTTTGCACACGGCTGATCACTAGGTAGGTTCTATGTTCCTGTGTTAGTTGACTAGGCAGTTTTCAAGTTCCGAAATCCATAATTGGCTCTTTATTCATTACACATATAATATAATGTATATTGCTAATATAATAATCCTAGATGGAGCTTGGGAAAATAATTTATTTAATTCCAGGTCCAAAATTAATCATTAATAAGTTTAATAATCATATTTTTGTTTCTGGTCAATTATCGAATGCCACACAGTTACACACACATTATTAGTATTTTACTCGCCATTTTCCCATATTTTCTCACTGTTTAAAGCTTTCCTAGAATTGAACGAGTACTTAAAGACCAAAATTTATTAAGCCGGTGTAGCCGTTTCATAGTTTGAACGAGACTAACTAAGAAGATTATTAAATTCATAAATATGGAAAACACTTTTAGATATTGTTACAAACCAAAAAACATGCAATTTGATACAGTCGTTCGGTAGTTAAGCACATACATACACTATGAAGGCTCATTTGTATGTTATTAAACTCGCTTTTGATTGATAAGAAAAATAATGAAATACAACCTACCTTGTTGAAGAACGAGTCAGCTAGGTAGGCGATCTTTTGCGGCGCACCGGGGCACTTGATTAAAGTGTCAGGGTACGTGAAGATGGCGTTGCCTCCCTTGTGTCTCTTGATGTCTGAGAATGTCTTCTCACAGTACGCCGCATCGTATATCGAGGATACACCGCTTGTCTTGTCTTCTAGAGCTTGGTATAGACCAGGTACCTGGAGACGATAGGTAACTTTAAGGACGTGTCAAATCAAACGCAATCTACAAATGAGGTATCTACTACGTTATTAAACACGTTGAAAAATATAGCGTACTCTTAATCAGTAAAAATAATGTTCTTCAGTTTTTTTTTAAGAATCCCCCTAAAACAGAATCAGATCAGATAATGTCCACAATTTTAAACAAAAATATAATAACATTAAACATTATTGAGCGCTGCGAACTACACTGCTGTCGTATCGCTTTAAATCTCATTAACGCTATAAACACTGTTCTAAAGACCGAATAAAAATCAGTTGAACTAATAACGCCATAATCGCTAGGCCATACACACTAACGAAGACCAAATGCAAAATGGAAAATTTCAAACCAAACCAAAATCGTTTGTTACAGGGTTTCATCGCCTTAGTAGTACGTCTTGTATAACATAGATGTCGCTAGTATAGTGTTTGGATTGGACAGGTCAAATTGATCAAGTTTAAATTATCGTACACATACCTTATCATAATCGTTGATCAACCCAGAAGCTACAACGAGGTACTCGTAGTTGATGACATGTCCGTCCGAGGTCAGCACTTTATTCTCGTCAGGTAAAATAGTTTTCGCAGAGTCCTGTATCCATTGGGCGTTTTTGGAGAGGATATTTGCTTGCTGTCGCCAAGTATCCTTTAACGTCACCACTCCTGCACCGACTAACGTCCATAGAGGCTGGTAGTAATGGTCCTAAAAACAATATCGTACTTCTCAGTATTGGAAATATAGAACACATTAATAGCATCCGTTAGAAGAATCTGTAATTCCTTTATCTAGAAAAGGGAATCTTTAATGTGCTGACGATATATGCAAAACACAAATTATACAACATCCAAACTAATATTGTAAATGCGAAAGTAACTCTGTCTGTCTGTCTGTCTTTTCTTCACGCCTAAACTACGGAACCGATTTTTGTGGAATTTGCTACAGACATAGTCTGGAACTCGAGAAAGGACAAAGGATAGTTTTTATAATAAAAGTCTGCAGGAAGTCAATATTCCACGCGAACGGAGACGCGGGCAAAGGCTAGTTCTAGAATATAATCTAGGGTTAAGATTTTTTTTTCATCATTTGGTAAAGAACTGTGCATGCATTATTGGGGATGCGTACGGGGATTAAGAAAAGCAGTATCTATAATATAGATTCTTTAAAATGTTTTAACTATGAAACAGATTATGTTTTGGCTACACGTGTTGATAGTTCTGACACGAGTACCGGACACTACAGCATAAACCTGTGTACATAACATTGATGTGTCCATTAAAACAACTGACTGACGATTTAAAGTTATGCAATGTGTCTGTTTCTTAAATTACATCATAAGACTACGGTGTATTGTTATTAATTAGACATAATTCAATTATCAGTCTTACTGCAGTTACTGTCATCTTGTTTTTATTAATCTCTTATTTACAATGTTTGTACGTTTGTGAAGAGGAATCCCCCAACACGAAATTTTGAAGCAAATATCTTCAACCAATTAAGTTTTATTTTTGCATGTTTGCATGTTTTTGCACGTTCATGAATACAAAGCTTAAATATAAATCTTCAATCTTCTTCTGTTTTAGGACCTAGACATATTATTCAATATCTCTAGTCCCAGGCCTAATCGAATTAAAGCTTGATTTTTTATAGTGTATGGAGTAAACAGATATTTTTGTCAATCTCCATTACCTGCATACAATGGGTCTCAAATTATGGTGACTATAAATATTATACTTAATTGGATGCCATAAATTAACATGATCCTGTAGCTAAACATGAGCCATTGAGCTACACTCCAATTGCGCTTTTCCTGTTGGGCACAAACATTTTTTGAAACACAAAAGTAAATCGATCCAATAATTTAAGCTGTCTTTTATTTTATTTGTGGTTGAATGTACATAAAGTGTATGAAGTTGTTACAAAATACTTACTTAATGCCACATGACATTATCTACAGAAATCAGCGAAAAATAAGTACAGGCAATAGTAGCAGGTAATAGTAATAAAAGTATAACTATTACCACCATTTCAATATTATCCATAAAAAAATTAACCTCAATAAAAACGATTAAAGGTACACATACATACCAGTAGCCTATCTAAGAGTTAACAGAATCAATGGACCGAGCATATCATTTGATTTCAGGAAATGATAAGGAGAGTATGACTATCCAACTACTACATGGCAATTTTAATTCTTAGTAACTTATTGCCTCGTCATTCCCTGTTGGTAATATCTTCTTTCCATAATTATAGATAGATAGTAATTTAATCACTTTATCTATATTTATTTAATAATTTATGTACACACAAACAGCACAGAGGAAAATACATAAAAAAATAAGAGTACAAAGGTGCTACTTATTCCTGTTGGAATTTCTTCCAGTAGACCTGAGACAGGAAATGTAATTAAAATATAAGACACAGTGTGTAACAAAAGTGAAAAAAAAAAGAACTAACGATAACAAATAGGTAATATATGTATATATATATCATATAAATATAAATACTTAATATATAATAATAACAATAAATAAGATACACATATAAATAAACGTAACTGTAAGTACTCATGAAGAAAGGCAATGGTCTTTAACAAGTTTTTTGAAGAGAGCGAGCGATTTAGCGTCACGAATGTTAGGCGGGAGAGAATTCCACAGTCTCACAGCATAAACGGTGAAAGAATAGGAGAAGAAGTCAGTATTATGAGGCACGATTTTAAGGTTGGACTTGAGATGAGAACGAGTTAGGACATCAGGAGGACGCACCAAGGAGAAACGATCTATCTATCTAATCTAATCTATAGGTAGGTACTAATATTATAAAGAGGTAAAATTTTGTATTAGGGGGTAATCTTTGGAACCGCTGGACTCTTCTTTCACTGATAGATAGCTACAATGTTCCTGGGTGCTATAGGCTATAAAACATCACGCTACGATCAAATGGAGCCAAGCAGCGGGTGAAACCGCGCGATAGTAGCTAATAGGCTATATTTTATCTTTATTCACGAGAGACATAAGCATAGACGCCAGGCGGGGTAAGGGGCAAACCGCAATAGCCATTGAAGGCCCGGCTGAGAGTAGAAGCAACGCGGTGTTTTTAGTCAGTAAGAGAAGATAAGCTAACTATGACTGACACACCCTCGCGCCCTACCCCCTGCGGGACAAAAGACAAGTCATTGGATAAATATTTTCGAAACTCCAATTCATTTCATGCCCTCTTTTCAAAAAAAATTGCTGAAGAGTATAAAAATTACATAGTTAAACGCGGCGCGTTAAACTTAAATTTTATTCATACTCAGAAATATAGGGGGAAAAATATGAAGGTTCACCTTTTGTTTATACTTGTTTTGAACTACTTTTAATCGTGTGCAGCTTTAAGGTAGGAAAACCACAAATATTTATTGCGTTTCTTTCTATTAAAAAAACATTGTTTCTACAGACTACGCGGTATACTAAAGTTTCTGTGTTCAGAATTTTCGTCGACAATCGACGAAATTTAGCCATTCAATCCAGTAGTGCCTAGTTGGATAGTTAATTAAATTGACCTGCACAAATTCTAAAACCAGCGAACGAATTTTTCGTTAAATATCAAGGTTTTGAATGAAGTTATCAGTGAAAGATTAATAGGTATATAAACACAACTATGAATATCCATCAATATAGAAATATTTATTGCAGGTAAAATTTACTGCCAATGAATGGTACGAGTACCTAGTATAGTGATAACAGCGGGGATTCACAATCTTGGTAATAACTTACCTACATGATGAATAGAATATACATATGTAATTTTCGGTAATATTGTCAGGTCGTTGATGATGATATACTACAGTATAGATACGATACGAGTATTCCGTGAAGAAAATATTAGTATTAAATTTTCTTTTGAGACGAAAAAAGCAAATTACTTCTCTCGCCTAGGATGAGTGAGATGGTAATGCCATTGGCCCGGTCTTTCTCCGGTTTCAGGCCGGGTTTCGAGGCCAGGGTATCTAATTGTGCTTGATAACCTCGCTGAACATCAACCATGTTGGGCTTCACCTGTGGTGGCTAAATTAATGGCGCTTCGGGTGGATGTGATGACACCTGACACCGCATAAATCAAGTTTACCATTCCTTTTCTCTGGGGCAAAACCATTCAATGATTTCTCTCACCCTTCTTCGGTGGGGCGAGAGGTCTACCTGGCTAAAAAACACCCGTTTCTTCTGCTCCGAGTCGGATCGTCAAACAAATTGACTATATAATAATATACATAATTGTAAACACTATAAAGTAAATATACCTACATACGAGTCATATAATATGTAGCAGGCAAATTAAGGTATCAGAGATTTCACCAAATCCCTACAGGAACGACTACAAACATTACGAATGTCATTGTTAAATTAAAATTATTGATTTTTGTAACAGGCCATATTTTAATATTTAAATGTCGAATACTCATGTTTATTACGTCTCTGCCTACGTGTTTACGTACTATATCTACTAACCATAAATATAAGTATATTTATACGCATTCGTACATTGTAAACTACCTTCGCCTTCGTGAGTCAACGATGATAATTTGAATTTTGTATTGTTTAGTTTTTTTATTACTACTACGAACAAATGTTTCAATGAAATAAGGTTAATAATTTATATTAGTCTATTGAGGGATTATATTTTTTTTTCTGATATTTTTTTGTATTTTAACATTGAAATACAACATTCGATAAAATGTATAAAATAAATCTCGATACATTTGTGTCGGTCTTACAGTGACACAATTTTTTTTACCTGAAGGTAGTCAAAACATGAATTCGTTTAGCCCTCTGAATGGTTGGTTAACTTGAAGCAGGCCAGTCAGAGCGTAGAACGTCATAATCTCGTCATAATAAAAAAAAACACAGTTATATGCTATAAATTACGCGACTGAAATCACGGCGCACAGCTAGTTAGAAAATAAATTAATTAATGAAGAAGATTACTTACTTTGCTTGGCTCGAGGATTATGACGCTATGTTTTGGCAGTCTTCTAGCAAACTTGGCCGAAGTCGCGCTCCCACCCGTACCCCCACCTATGACCAGGAGTTTGCATCTGAAAAGAACAATTATAAGAAATGCCTGCTTTCATACTCCATTATATTGTTATTAACCTAAATAAAGTGAAATGTCTTTTTGTGATTATTTTACATGGACATTAAATTATTTATTTTATTGTTGAAGAGAACTTACATCTAATGCAAACAGGTAAAACAATAAACTTTACACAAAGAGGTGGACAAAAGAGGAGGTGGTGTTTGTAAAACTAAATGATTTCCAGGGTATATTAAATTATAGCTTCTGCAAAAGATCAGGACAATCAATGTTTATTACCAGAATTTTGAGAAATAACAAAAAGGGATTTGAATTATATTTAAAGTTACTATAAGAATGATATCTTCAGTCAAATTCATAGGCCAAAACATTGTAAAGTTATGTGCTAAACAATAGGAGGATCCATGATATTGCTGAGGTTACTGATATACTATATGACCTTGAATCCCCAAATGGAAAGATATGTGTGCAAATATAGATTTTGAAATAATATAACTGCAGAAACTATTCACCAGATATGCAGTAAAATAAAAAGCACTATTTACAAGTTGTGTTACACAACAAAAAAATTAAAACACATTAAAACATTAAAGAAAAAAAAAATACTGGTAAGTAACTTTTGTTTAAGCCAGTATTTGCCAGCCATTTGTGCTCTACAACATTAGCAAAATTGTTAGGGATACTATAATATGTTATAAAAACATTTGTCACTGAGAGAGTTAGGTACTATTATTACACTTTCTATTTTCTTTCATATTGAGTATTTCTTTTTTCTTTCTTTAAAACTTCTTTAGTATCATTTTAGGTATATGATTAAATATTTATTGTGAATATAAAACACTCATAAACATATACATAACTAACAATAATTCTATATAACAATATTCTAAATACATATTGATAAACATGCTATTTTTAAATGATACTCTTAGTAGCAACACAGTATCTTTTTCATATTGCAATGAAATGCATACTTTAAAGCACAGAGAACAAGATTCATTTTCCTATGCTAATGAGTATGGCTGTAAAACAACAGTGCTTATTGAAAAACATAATAAAGTTAATATAAATAAATATAAAATATCTGATTTTGATAGGACTTATAATTCCAATAAAAGTCAATTTAATCCTATTTGAAGGTGTGTTTCCAGGAAATATTCTCTATTGCCACTTGAACTTTAGGAGTTTAAATACTCAAAAAAAAGTTAATTCTGTGGTGTCCCAGAGTGCAGATCAAGATAAGGTATAAGGTATATTGATAAAATAATAAGCATTATTTTTCATATGTAAAATAAATTAAATATATTAAATACATTAAAAATATATTTATTTAATATAATAAGATTTTAATGTACTCAATCTTATTGAATTTATTTCTTAGCCAACTTAATCATGATAACATTATTACATAATTTTATTGGTTCGAAATTTACGAATAGGTACCTAATACCATTTTATATAGTATTTGTTATCACTGTTAGTAGTGTACGTTATCTGCCTTAAAAATTTAATCTCTTTAAATGAACCATTGATCGATTGACTAAGAATATAATAGTCTTTAATGATTGTATTACCTATTCATGTTCAAAACTCAAAATCTAGATAACTCTCATGGTGACAAATATAAGAGATATATTTAATGAACACTAGTACTTACGAGTATGTGCCATTATTTGGTGTGGATACGGAGAAACTTCTGCTTAATCCAGGAGTGCTGACCGCGGTAAGTCTTCGTATGAAACTCATGTTTGGAGCAAAACGGTGTTCGCACTGTAAACACTTATCCGGCTGCTACCACATGAAGTATGATCCTGCGCTCTAGTGCTCACACTAGTTAAGTAATCGCAGAAGCGATGATTCAATACTGTGTGCAGGTGATACTTGCAGTACGACGACAGTTTGTTGATATTTGGTTGGGGATTGTCATGTCTTTGACAATGCCGAATATGACGTTTTTTCTAGCACATCTCGGATGACGTTATTGACATCGACAATTAAATTGTAAATAGTGATTTCTAATAAATAATTTTAAGTTTGTCAATATCAATGGAATAATATTTTATTAATTTGAAAACTGAGTCTAATTCTATCTCCAAAGGTGATGCAAACTACCCACAACACGAGTAAGTTTCAAAATTTGAAAAGCATAGAGAACTAGAGGGTTCCGGTGACTTTAGTTTAGTGTCAAAAAAACTGTCATAACAAAAATGGCGGACGACGACGAAATTGACATTTTAGGAGATTTTTCTTTTAATTCATGTTTTGCTCAAAACAATCAAGGAATGTAAGTAAATCTAACATTTATATGATTCCTTTCAGAGTTATTCGAAATATAATTGATTTATGATTACGCAACACTTTTATTAGCGGTTATGTTTACAATCTTGTTGACACCAATTCTCCAAACAAAACAATAATAACGCAGTTTATACATGTCTGATGCTATCATTTAATGCTAATGTACGTTGTTTACCAGTCAAAGATCTTAAATGAATAATTATTTTGCTGTTTATAATTTAATTTTTACAGTTAAACAAGAATTCATGCACTTCTATTGGTTTTAGCCCTTCATGTTCTAATAGAGAAGACACGGTGCACCCACAATGGCTACTCGACTCTACAGAGACGAACTGGTACGATAAACAAAATAATAGGTAAGTTTTATGTGCCATCCCTTAGCAATTGCATGCAATGGCTTGGACCTTAAAAAGCATCCAAAATAATTACTGCATGCGAATCTCACTTCCTTATTCATTCTATTCTTATCTAAAAAATCTAAATCTACACATACATACATACATTCAGTTATAAATAAGATATATTTTATTTTGGCACTTTTTCAAGGCTAAAAGAAGGATCACCGAGGAAACTCTATGGAAACAATGCTTCAGATAAGCATATAAATGATGTCCATACAGCATGGAGTGCCAGGGAGAGAGATATTCTTATTAAAGAAATGGTGAGTTGATATTTAAACATATTGATTTAGTTATTATGTAATGTATGTGTAATAAAACATATTCTAATGTCAAATTAGTTTTGTTGCCACTGATGTTATAACCATAATACTTGTAAATAATATTTCAACTGCTTAATCTTTAAACACAATTAAAAAAACATTCTTATAAGAAACTGCAACAGTGTTTACTTTAATCCAGTCTTTTCTTATCACAGGCTAAATATGGGAGAAATGTACGAAAAATATCACAAACATTGAAAACAAAGACTGAAGCAGAGATACAAGCATTAATTGAGGCTGAGTTTGGTGTTAACTTGGAGACTCCATCATTTGGTCTGGACAAGCCGGAGGACCATGAGGATGTACCAGCTGTAGTCCAGGAAGAAATAGTTACAGATGACATGACTAGTATAAATAATGTTATCAACATGGTCACTACCGGAGCACCGACAATTAATGTACCAAAGAAACCATTCAGAAAAAAAAATACCAACTCCAAAAGTCTACTGAAACCAGATGTTCTGAATGACAAGAAGGCTGAGTTAATGGCAATAAATCCAGCAGAAATATTATATGAGGATGATCTAATAATAGGGTCGACAGAATCTATTGGTTCTGACTTAGACTTGACTGACATTGTCTCTAAGAATATAGTTAAGTACCAGGCAAAAGTGAAGGCTGAGAAAAAGATTGGTAACCATAGAAGAAAAAGGTCTAAGAACTATGATAAGGGAACAACTAGGAATAAAAGTAAAGAGTTATTAAAGTCACCCTTGGGCAGGCAGCGCAAGGATTCTAGTTTGTCTGAGGACAGTGTAAAGAGTCCTAAAATGCAGATTGTGTTGGGATCAGGACAAGCTTTACCAGTTTCTGAAGGGGAACAAGTGGTAAGTTGTTGAATGATCCAACCATTATTAATTTCTCTCATGTTGAAATTACTTAGACATATGAGTTGATAGCACAACCATATTTTAATAGCTACCACGGTTATACTAAACCAATTCAAAAAATCTTATTAATGTCCCAGACATCTAATAAAAATAAACAGTAATTATGTATTAATCACATCATTGCAACTTTCTATAGATAAAAATAGAGAAGAAGAAAGACTCAGAACCAGAGAGTGACATAGAGATAGATGTAGACAGTGACAGTGAGAGCAGTACACACAAGTCCACTCCTACCAAGGAACAGAGGGATAAGGATAAGGCTACAGAGGAACCTATAGCCGTGCCACTCAGTAGGTTTGAGCCCATGCCCAAAAGACCTAAGAAGATTAATCTGGTGAGATTTATTTACAAATTTTCTGCTTTTAAAAGTAACTAGGCAACTGCATATGTATATATTAAATGAACTTTTCTGTCAATAAAGTTATTTGCTTCCATATTTATGTAGTTATTTTGGATCCAGTATATACAAACCTAAAGTAAAAAGTGATTTACTTATTGGTGCCAGTTGCCAAAAAAGGTTTTGGTGCAAAGTACAAACTGTTCCTAAGACAATACAGGGATTGCTCAAGTGTTAGAAGAATTATATGTAATATAAAAAGACAATTGTGCCACTTCTAATATATTTTTTGTAGAGGGAAAACTATCAGTTGATTTTCCATTCCATTTACTGCTCCAGACTAGGGCCAAAGTACATTATGCCTAATATAGCAGTCAGTAACATTGTTTAGAGGTATATTATATTAATCATGGTTTAATTATTTCAGGATGGTGGCGGTGGCTACACTATCATGCACACGGAATCTGGTGACTTGGTGGCGCTGGGAGCGGAGCCACGCCGAGGTCGTGCGCCGCGCAAGGTGCCTGTACAACTGTTGCACTGCCGGGTCTACAACGCTGAGAAACCGGTCAGTATGCTGCTTGTACAACTTTTATTTACTTACTTAAATATAGTGACATGACTTGCCAACTATTAGCTCATAAATGTTCTGGTCATCAGAATGTTCATAATTTGGCCAAGATTTTTTGTAATTTGTTTAACTTTTCTTTTGTTTCCAATTTGTGGTTCTACACTAGGATTTCCTCATGAGTCGTATAGTGGGTGCGTGTTAAATACACCCAGACCAGTAACTACTATTTGTGGATCACGCAAAAAGTTGTACCTTGTGCAAATTACTCTTTTAGTTGGACAATTATCGTGACGTTATTTTTGTCCCAGGCGCCATTCGAGGTGCGTGTACACGTGTCGACCCTGGTCCTGATGGACGGCCACGCGCACACGTCCCGCGGCGAGGTGATGGGCCTGCTGGGGGGCGCGCTGCGACCCGCCGCGCCGCCCGTACTCACTGTCTCCGCCTACAGGCCTGCCGCCGCCGCCGCTGGTAGCACGCACTGTGATATGGATCCAGGTTAGACTTAGAGTAAGATTTATTGTTTTGTCCCCCATTGAATTAGCAGGTGGACGATTCTGACATACCATATCGACTTCGTTGGTTTCATGTAGATGGCCAGGTCTTTAATCCTTACGTGAAAGCCTGTCGATGAAGTTTTATTTATATTGACTGCTGTTTTTATATAAGTCACATATTGAGTGGGCAAGTGGCCATTTACGTTTTTGTTTGTCATCATTTTCAGAATCATTCTGATTCTGGTTCTGATGATCACAGTCTCATACACAAAGTTATGGATACTACATCAGTAATTTTAAACACATTGTCATTTGTTAGAATAATTTGAAGCGGTTAGTCTTTCAGTAATAGTAATTACATAAAAATAATCTACTTCCAGTATCGCAGTCCATAGCGGCAGAGTCGCTACGCAGTGCAGGCACGCTGGTGTGTGGATGGCACCACTCGCACCCCCAGTTCCCGGCCGCGCCCTCCGCGCAGGACCTGCTGTCGCAGCGCGGCCTGCAGCAGGCACTCGAGTGGACACACGTACCGTTCCTAGGCTTCATCACCTCTCAACACTGGCCCACTGGCAGGACGGCTTCCCAGTACCGGTTAGTGCATATTTTGTTCCATCCGAAACCTGGCTTGCTTACTTAAAATTTCGGCTATTCTCTTTTCATGTTTCTTGGAACTCCTTTCAAAATCACTATCCTTATCTCAAAAAGTAAATGGCCTTGTAAAATACATATATGTACTCTTTTTCCAGATGTATTCGTGTGGAGGATGAGGAAGACGCAGAGATCCCAACAGGCTACCAACTCAGTGTGAAGCTCACGCCAGACCTCACGGCAGACAACCTGGCGAGTTTCCTACAAGAGCTACGGGCTGTCATGGTGGATAACCTCAGTAAAAACGAGTTCAGTGTCAACGTTGTCAAGGATGTATGTCCACAGGCCAAAATGACCTATTTAGAAAAGGTAACCACATTTTTCTTATGCCTGATCACCATCTAGCTAAAAGCTGAGTGACTAGACTATATTCGGATTTTATAATAATTTGATAATTACTTAATGATTTGACTAGTCAAATAAATGGTTCTTGAGGGTGGTAAAGTTTACTTACATATTTCTATTTTCCACAGTGCATATCTAGTATATCGCATCACTTGCGGTCGGCAGGATACGAAGAGTCCGACCCGCTCGTGCAACAACTCATGCAAGGTATAAGAGATGTCTTCAGATAGTCACCACATCACAGATTGTATGGAATTACCTGTATTACCACATTTATAGTTTACTCCATATTCAAGGCGAAGCAGAAACCGTAACTTAAGACCAGATGCGTGTACGGATATGCAAGTACGACAGAGTTATAAAATCATGCGGCACGCGTACGTCTCCTTGACGTCAGCGGTGTGTCCTGTCTCATAAAGTTCCATACAATTTTAGTAACTCGAGCCACAATAGAAGAACAATACGAAAAACGTTCTCTTGACCAATTAAAACTCAGTGATACGTGCACGTCTACGCTTGCATCTCCGCACGCGCCCGGCTTTAAAGGCGAGGTCATACAGTTATTTTTTATAATTACCTAGTGAAATATTGTTCAAGTACTATACGTAGTACTGTTTCTAGTGCTTACGTCTGTCTTCGATTACCTTTTACACTTTACTTTGTTGTATATCTTCCAAATAGCTAGACTTCAATAAAATATTATTTTTAATACGATAAGTATAACTGTTTATGTAAATACAGTGCTGTATATTGTGATATGAAGAGTCTTACTGTAAGAATACCTCTCAATTTTCTTGTTCTCTCAAGAGCTGGTGTAATGGAAAAGAATGTTATTTATTGATTTATAATAAGAATAATAATATGATTTTATTATAATGTATATAAATTATTATTTAATATCATACATACCTATTACAAACATGGACTGTCACACGGGCAGGTTATAAACAATAATATGTACCTACGTTTTAGGGAATATTCTGGAACGCAATGTTTCATTAAAATTGTAAAGCATCACTTGAACAAACGTCGTATAAAATAATTTGATCTATTTTTTAGACAAGTTAGAACCTTTTTCAATGTTTTATTTAAAATTATTTGTGTTAATGTAAGTTTAATTTATTATTTGGCTATTCAGTATTGTTTAGTATAACTCTTAAAAAAAGCTTTTTAAATTATAAAATTACCTTCACGAAGTAAATTCCAATTGATTTATAAATAAGATTGTTTGGTAAATTATCTCCCATTTACAAAATAAATGTGAACATTATAAACAAAAGAAATAAATTCTAATATTCTTCACTTCTCTGTGTCTAATTTTATACACAAACCCCATCTCTCTCTCACCTTTCTAAAATTTCGAAGATAAGATTATTTTTACAACAGTTTGATCATAAACTTTGAAAAAGTCACAGAGCATTGAATGTTCGGGAAAGCTTAACAACTTGGTTCCCCTAGTCCTTTCCACCAGACAATCCAGGCAAAACGGCATCGCTTTATGGTAGATTTCCCACGTACACGCACTAAGCGGCACGCCTCCAGGTTTATAATCTGAACCGCTAAGCAGTGGAATTCTTTGCCGGAGTCTGTTCCCCGAAGGGTACAATCTGGGTGTCTTCTAAGCCTGAGTGAATAGATTGCATATGGGTAGGCATGCTCCATCGTAGGTAGCATTATCGTTTACCACCAGACGTGATAGAGGCCAAATGCTTGCCCATTCCGAAAAAAATAAATATAATATAATTTTGGCAGTTCCTTTTCAAGCATCTGATGTCACTTATAAAGAACTGTTGATATTGGAAATATGTTTTTATACATTTTATTGCAATTATTCCAAAGGAAAACTTATTCCACTTTACGTTTATGCCAAATTGTATTTAGATCTGTATAGCCGTTTTTACGTAAATGAGTAAGAAACATCCTATTGTCCTGTAATTCACTTATTATATTAGTTGGATCGACGTAGGTACACTAAAATAAAATACAAAAGCATAATTATGGCACAGTTCCAGTTTATTTTTTAATTGTTACATGTGCTAGATAAAAAAATAATACAGTCCGATTAGTGAAATTCTTTTACTATAAACCATCGGCCGTTGACGAGCAAACGGCCGTGTCTCGTATCGATGATGAAATTAATACTTAGGTTTTATTACAAATCGTTTATCTCCACATTCGTACACTCTAAATTGGAAAACATTATATTTCTTTTTACAATTTTAACAAGCATTTTAACCAATATAGTTTTGAGCCCATTGGCTTGAACTCTGCGGGTATCGACTTGATACCGACCGTGACTCGATTTCTATTCGTTTGACACGAACTTATATCTGTCGGCACACACAGAGACGCCTATAGTGGACCTTTTTGGTAGTACAAAGGTACTTTATCATCGTAAGTGCCTTGTATAATATAATTTAAAAACGATATAGTAATTCATCTATTTATACAGTCATATTGTCAAGTGTCCGGGCTTACCGCGGTCACTGTTTATATTACTGGGCATTATAAAAATGTACTGCGCTCAAACACAATATATTACGATTTATCAACACCTTACTAATCTGATACACTGACGTAACGATGCACGCAATACACACGAACCTAGCTTTAGACGAATTGGCAAGTTTAGAACCTACAAACAAATGGAAAACACACTGGCAGTGATAAAACAACGTTGCAGTAAATAAACTAAATTTGAGCAGTCTACACTATAAGATCTGGCGGTAACAACATTAGTTACATTTGATTTAACTATTCTTAACAAAAACCGTAATATTTTGTGTTTGATGATTCGCATCACAACGCAACCTTAGGCAATAAATAAAAAAATGATTTGTTTTAATTAAATTAATAAAAAATAAAGAGTTCGAAACGATCGTAGCGTTACGTCTATATTTACAATGTGTTAACTTACAACTAATTAGAAGCATCAACTATGAAAATTTTTATCAACATTGAAGGCACATGATTCCGCACCCGATTCTCGTCATATATGTGCAAACATTAGGTGCACTCTCCGCTGGCAACACTCCTCTGTACTTCTATTTTACATGGCAACACTACAGCTTGTATAATCTGTCAAAACTTTCTCAAACATGTAGAAAGGATTAAAAGCTGTTCAACATTATTCCAATGTGGGATAACAAACAATATTTATGACAAAAACATAACTGTGCTTGGAAAAGTTGAGACAGATAATACAATCTGGAGTGTTGGTACATAATGGACCGGACGTGACATGCTAACTTACACAATATTATACAATATGCGAAATAAGTACTGGTATCCTATTCGCATTGCACGACACTCGATCCGAAATCCGACCATAGAATATACTGAAAGATGACATAAATGCTAAACATTAGGTAAAAATGTTAATTTCGTAATGTCTCTGATGACAAGTTTCATGCAATGCAAACGTAGACTAGTTAATTTATTTGAAATTTGACTTAGGGAAACTCAGTCTGGCGATGATGTTATAGCAAAAGTACTCTGGCTTAGTCGCCCATACATTTGTACTGTGCTGTGGATAGGAAAGAGAAAGAAAATTAATAGCAGCCTTATCGAGTTACGGGAACAAGCAATGATGAGTGACGCCATTAGAAGACTTTCTGTGATCGTATGACGTCAATCACCATTACTACGCATATATCAAAAGTGACAACATCAAGTGAAAGATAGAAAGTAGTACATAGAGTACATGTTTGCGCAGCACAGTACAAGCCTGCAGGCGACTAAAGTCGGCTAAGACCGGTCACATACAGAATAAACATAAATTTATTCTTAACAACTATTTCGCTAATTAGTTCTATTCACAGCTGCGGAACGGAAATTATTTATATAAAAACATGTCTCCACTTATAAGTGCAGTTTAATTCATTACATTGATATTTGATTGAGATCCCGTCGTGCGTACAATTGTTTTGTCAATAATTTTGATTTAAATGGCTTACTGGTAGAAAATATGCTGGTGCCTGACCCTTGCTACAAAAAAAAATATTTTTTATTCAATTTTCGTATCAATAAATCAACTTCTGTCATTATTTGTAATTATAAAACTAATTGTACTTTGAAAAAATAATCGTTTGGTCTAGCCACCAGCATATTTTGCCCCCGTCATTATGATAAAATTTCATACTCCCATCAATAATTACGAATCCTCAATTTCAACGAAATTATATTTTATATTTAAACAGAACACGTCATTTTATATCTAAAATATTAATTTAAAAATATACAAACTAAGCAGTCATTCATGTAACACTAGGAATATAAAAAAATGTTTGCATACCGTCATTCTGCGATTTAAAAAAATATCGTACAATAGTAAGCGTACTCAACTAGCTCGTAGTAAAAAAATAATTAAAATTAATTAAAAAAAGCTTAAAGAGTCAATGAGGAACAGAATTTATACAATGTCGCGCAGTTATACTTATTACGATTATACTTATCGTAATGTTTTAAAAATAAATAATTTATTTAATCTATGGCCGCCCTGTCGCTGTACAGTACTTTATAAGTTTGTTATCTATTTCCGACAATTGAAACTTACGTTAATGATAAAAAAAACAGTATCACTGGGTGACAACAACAACACATTATACTGTGAGACAGGGCGGCATGTGAAGGGCAGTACACACTGGCGCAGAAGCTCGCACGCGCTTACACTGGCGTGTCTAAACTTCGATGTTTACTTGTACAACGAATTCATTTATTAGCTATCCGACAATACCTCACATTATACGCGGATAATATTGATCGTAATTCTCATTTTCTATCACTACAAAATATAACCAATTCAATATTAACAATAAGAAAACACAACAGTCTAGAATGAATTTACAGAAAAATATGAAAAAACTATACTTCTGTTCAGTTAAAACTTGTCATATTTATAGTTGACATTTGAATACATATAGTAATCAAATATCAATCCTTTGATCACAATAAGTGAGATATCTGAAATAGCTACTTAATGTCGTCAAAACAGACTGTAAAAATACAAAAAAAAAAAAAAAAAATGAAATGAAGACGAATACGGTTTTGACTTTTTGAGGATAGAAAATGAGGTACATTGCTCCACTAAGTCTAGACACAATGTGTATAGGTATTTCTTCTGTTTTCTTGTATGTTCCCTGGGTGGTATGTAGCCTAGTCGATGCTCTTGACGCGCGCCATGACCTTACCTTCGAACATGGGGAGTGTGTCCGAATCACTGCTCACTTCCTCTTGGATCACGGTGTCTAGATCCGCACAGTTCGTTTTGAAGAAGTATCTGGAAACAAGTTGTTATTTCATTCAATTATGAAATGCACAATTTAAAAAAATGTTTATATAATTATGATGCCAATGTAAATGATATTTTTCTAATTTGTTATTACGTTTCACCCCTTCTTCACTTCTTATACGATAAATACTGTCACATTTTGTTAAATGTGCAATCAATTACAATTTTATGTATTCTTATTTATATTATATTATACTTAAAAAAAATAATACATCTTCGAATAGATGGAAAATTATTTCACAAAAACCTAAAATCAGGCCAGGATAGCTAACCAGATTTTTAGAAAAGTCGTGGAGTAAATCAAGCATCCTATATCCTTGATACTGTGGCATTTCGCTAACCAAACAAATGGCTGACGCCGAGGTAGTACGACAGGGGCGGACCACTTGTTTTGTCATTAATATGAAGTTTACAATATTTACCTGTAGTTGCCCTTCCTCGGCAGGTAATCCTTGAAGGTCTTCAGTGTGAGCGGCGAGGCAGGCACCTTGAACCGGTAGGGCACGTTCTCGTCCAGGAAGGTCACCACCACCACCGTATGGCTCTCCGCGGCCCCGCCGCTCGTACTGCTCGACTTACTGCCGCCGCCACTGGAATATTACACATATATTTATTTATTTAAGTGTGGAAGAGCCAAGCTTCGGTATGCCCTTGTATAAATTAATTGTTTTTCGATTGGGTGTACTGAAACCTCGGGATGCAATATGTTGATAGTAAAGTAATTAAATCCTAGTTATATCCTAGATACCAATGTCTTTGGGTTAGTTTTGAATGCAGTTAGTAAATAATATAATGTTCGTTTGTTAGTTTCAAATATATAGATATCATACCGTGCGGCTCGAGGCGGTTTGTCCTTGCGGCGAAGATCGTCGCGGTCTGCAGAGGAGGCCCGCGAGTGGTGGCGGCGTTCGAGTCGGTCGGGCCGGTCGGGTCGGTCGGAGCGGTCGGGCCGGTCGCCGCGCTCGAGGCGGTCGAGGCGCTCGCCCTCCGCCATCCACAGCAGGATGCGAGGCTCCACGCCCCCCTCCGACACCACCGACACTCCGCTGTCGGTCAGCTCCGTCACCGTCTTCTTAGAGAACGACCTGCCGGAGTAACTGTCGTACAGTTTTGTGTTAGATACAGGTTGATTTTAAAGTTTTTAGTACAGACACTAGTGTATCAAGCTTCTCTAAGCATTTTTTTTTTATTTTGTCAGGTTACTCAAAAACTTTGGCTTATCACCGATGTGTCTTGGTCTTTGACTACGATTTGTTAATCGCTTATCAAACATAGGTGTAGCTAGTAGACTTTTGACAGAAAATATCAGTCTGAAATACATTGAGTGTAGAACAATACCTGCGCGTGAGTGAGTGGGGATGGTGCAGCGAGTCTGGTGGCGCGTCGTAGTGTCCGGAGTCCGCGGAGAGCGCGGAGGGGGCGCGGCGCGCGGGGTGCGGGCCGTGCGCCCCGTGGTGGCGGGGGCGCGCCCGCCGGCCCCCGGGGGGGGACGCGCCCGGGGTGCGCTCCGACCATACGCGGGACACGTGCTGGTCTGTGTGGGTGCAAAATATTATTATAGTAACACATTGGAACATACTATCAAATCAACATTCATCTATTCTTCACTTTAATCTGTTTAAACCTCAATGCAGACACAAACCGTTAGGTAAAGAGAAAAATTGCACGCGCAGTTCGCGACATGGACATGCGCCCAGCGGCGTGTCCGCCAGGTTTGGACGCGACGTGACCATAGCCAAGGTAATAATATCTACAAGTATTTCAACTTCATAGAAACGGCCGAAACGCGAACTATACCTACGCGCCCGATGTCGGGACGCGCACGGGACGCAGACAGACGCGGCTGTACCGCAGTGACTAACGGACGGTGTGTTGTCTTTTATTTAGAAATCAGCTCGAGTACATTATTTAATATGACGAATAGGAAATATTGTGCTGTTATTATGTTTGGTTGCATGAATTCGTCAATAACGCATCCAGACATAAGTTTTTTTTTAAATTACCTGGAAACTCTGAAAGGTAAGACTATAAAATAATTTTACTTACTAGTAGCCTAGGTAGGTACATAATGTGTGTCTTTATGGATCATTATTTCCAGTTATCTCACGAAAACAGATGTTTGAATTTATAAATAATATGAATAAAGTTATTGAGACGAGTGAAATAGGTAGTTATAGGCGGTTCTGGTTCTGAATGAATCATGATACGTTAGGTACCTACCTACTTACGCTTGTGTTAAAACGGTTCATGTATGTTTTGTTAGTTTGTATAATTCAAAGTAGAGAGTGTGGTATTTTATTATTAATAATATTTGTTTATTATCTGCGTTTATGAATAATACTAGAAAATATTTAATAACAACAATAAAACAGCTAGACTCATGTAATATTTTGATGTTTGAGGGTTGTGATTTTAGAACATTCGTAGTCAGCTGTTCAGTTCGGCATTAGTGGCCAAAGAAATTTTGTTTGTTTATTTTTAAAGCACTTTATTTGTTTATATAAAAAAAGGATATTTACAATCACAAAACTAAATGGAAACAGAAAGTAGACAAAGGTAATTAAAATACTGGAGACGAGCAGCCCTAACGCATGTTTACGTACCGCGCGGCTGTAGGTATTTATTTCTTTCAAGCGGCCGAGTTACAATACTGTATGATATTTATACTGTGCCATAGCTGTTACATATATACAATATTAAGAATAACATTAGATACTGACCGAGGATATCTTGATCGTTGTCGTCCTCAAGCTGCAATTTCTCGCGGATGGCGGCCGCGACCAGCTGCGGTGGTAACACTTGACTTGAAGCTTCGTCTACATCACCCTGTGTATATAAAACAAACTATTTAAGGTATGACCTGGATAAACGCCAGCACAAATGAAGCATAGATGTAAGTTGAGTTTTTGTATGTAAATAAAACGGTGAATACTAAGTTGAAATAACATAAATTCAAATGGTTGAGAACAAAACAGAACAGAACAATTAAAGAGATAAAGAGAGAGAATTTGCATTATTGTGATAGGATGACGTTATTTGGAGGAAACATTTGACAACCACAAATAACTCTAGAATTAGATAGACGAAATTCAAATTCACTTTTGAAGAAGTCTACATGCAGCAAAAACATCTGGAATGGTCTAATGCTGTATTCTTAATAACAATAATTATGGTTTACCTCAGCGAGTCGCCTCTCAAGCCTCTCCTTGGCCTCCTGGTCGCGGCGCACGCGCTCGAGTTTCTCAATGAGTAGCGGCGCAAACTCCGCCGGCGGTAACACGCGCAACTGTTCCGACTGCACTCGCGCCGTGCGGGGGATCACCTGTGAATGTGGTAAATGTGATATAACACTGAAGATTTAATATTTAAACAAGGTATTCCTGTAAGGATTGCCGGGTTTGCGGGGCAAGCGCAATAAGGTACCACAGCGTCGGCCTAACAATGATAACAAAAGAAACATACAATCTAGACAAGTTGTATCATTTTCTTACCTAATATAGATATAATAATCCTAATCCTTGTATATAACCTTTGTTAACAAAGGCGGTAAGATGTTCATGTATATATACTACGTTTAGTCACCTCAGTGAAAAAATGTTTAAACAAACTAATTGTATTTGTATCAAATCATTAATATGTACCTCCATAATCCTTTGAACCTTCTCCTTCCCGTATATTAATTTAAAAAAATACCGCTAGTCGACTGTTTGGGACCAAGAATTGTAATAATTCTAGTTATCCTGAACTCATTGACTCATTTGATAATAAAAGTCAACAAAGCGTTCGTGCCTTATCGCCGATGGAATTATAATAATATTAGATATTTACTTGTAGCGAATCAATGGAAAGATAAATTCCATGTTCTGCATATTTTGTTAAAACACCGCCAAATGCGTTAAAATCAAAGCTTTGCAAAACATACATATTTTCAGATAGAGTATGTAGAATTAATTTTGATATTATTGGATAAAGGTGAGAAAGACAAGACGAAAAACATGATGTGAGCAATCAGGAACGTCGGAGAACACCATGGAGTTACAAGAGGGCTGTCAAACTCATAATTAGCAATTATAAGTCCGGGTTTCCTCACGATGTTTTCCTTCACCGTGTGTCAGTAGTGTCTCAGTAATCATAGAATTTTACCCAACCATATTATTTTTGTACTTAGGCGAACCAAATACTTTTCGCGTACCAAATGTCTATCAGTCTGGCATTTTGGGTAATGCAGAAATGAGTTAAAACGGTGAGAGCAATCAGCAAACAATTTATTAGACTAAATTTAAAGAAAAATCTCATTTTGTGATATGTACCTAAGTGTTAAATAAATACAACAACAATACATACCTACATACGTATATACAGGGTGGTAATGACAATACGACAATAAATTAAACTGCGCATTACTCAACACGTTCTAAGTCAATACATAAAAAATCATTTCAATATATCCAGTAATTAAGACACAGGAATATATTTTTCATTCTTATAATTTGCTACACGATGTATCTACGCACCAACAGGTTAACGTTCCCCGCGGTACGCATCTGTAGGTACCTACATTATGTAAACTGAAAATCTGTCTGTCCTGGGAAGGTATTTTTTAAGTTATTTTATGATTTAATTAAAAAAAAATAGTGGCGTCATGAGGTCATGAACTCGGTTGACATAGACCATAACTGGTTTTTCGATATTAAGAAACAATGAGACTTAGGCATCCGATTGTTTTTTTTTAATACACATAAGTTCAATTACAAAAACAGTTATGTTTAACTGTGAGAAAAATAACACATGTCAATTGTGATAGATTTTAAATTCGATTATAATGTCAACAATAGTTTATTAGTGACAAATGATTAGATAGGCGTCGTGGTGCCCTGGAGTTTAAGGATCCCGCTTCTCATGCATGAGGGTGTGGGTTCGAAACTTGGCAAGTAGGTACCAATGTGACTTTTTCCGAGTTATATGTACTTTCTATGATTATTTAGACACCACTGACATACGGTGAAGGAAAAACATCGTGAGGAAACCTGGACTTTCTAGTTATAAGTTTGAAATCAATCCGCTTTGAGCAAGCGCGGTGATTAATGCTCAAACCTTCTCCGTCTTGGATGAGGCCTTTGCTCAGCAGTGGGCACTTATAGGCTGATGATGGTGATGATAAATGATTAGCATGGTTAATTTTATTAAAACCGGTTTTTAAAAGAACTCCTCGTTTCATCAATAATGAATTTCAATGCTACGTCGTCTAATAAAGTAAGTAATTTATGCGTTTAGGAACCGAAACTTACTTTTTACAATATCTTTATTCAATCCTTCAGATTTGATTCAGTGGCGAATCGTAAAAAATATTAAAAACATTATTACGCAAAAAGAGTACATCTCGAGTCAGCCTAGCTAGGTAAATAAAGAAATGAATTGTTACGGCGCCATTCTCTGAAAGGGGCCGCTCGGAAGCCTTGTCGGCGTCTTCAAACGTTTTGTCGGTGATTTGAAAGGCGCTATCGGCTTCTTAAACGAGGCCGCCAAAGGATCAAACAAAATACCGCATACAATATTGACGAAAATTTTGTTGTGTGAAAGTGATAAATGTAGTTTTTAGTCACTTGGCTTTCTTGTCGGAAACTATTATCTATAGTAACTACAAATTTAGTTCGCGTGTCGGTGCAATCCGGTGACTATTTACTTACGCGTTATCGCTTAGTAGCGCATAAGTCCTGACTCCTGTATAACTTGTACTTTGGGAGATTCGCCACCGCAGGTCTGTACCGCCGCTTTTGTCTATTGTTATATATATTTATGACGGTATAAGTGCGATATTGGATGCTTTATTTTAGTAACAGGACACGTTACCTACTTATCTAGTTTAATAGTTAGTAAGTGAATTGTATAGTTTCCCAGGCCAAAAAAAAATAATTTGACGTTTCAATACAATAAAATATTGAAAAATAAGTATACTTTTATTCATCGGTCGATACACAAAATTTTTGATATTTTTTAGCTGATTTTTAAGAAATAAATAAGCTTTTTGACGCAAATATTCTATGACGTCATAGCTCAGTGTTTCATACAAATTTCATAGAAAAGTATTGTTTTTGACATTTGGATAAAAGTACTGAATTTGACTAATTGGAAACTACCGTATTGTGCAAAATTGGAAGCTTAGGTTGTATAGCTTATTTAGTGTTTTGTTTTGTTTAAATTGTTAATTACCTCTCATTATAATTACACAGCCTCGGAGTACACTGGCATGGCTTTAATTTATGGAGAGTGTCAATGAAATTCCGCTTTGGCTATACGGACATACCGACAGAAATATGGGAACACTCTAGTTTGTCCGACCAACGGGTGTACTATTGTCAAAGTTGTCTAGAGGCTACCTGAAAATAAACCCTTAACCCGTGATGAGAGGCACAATGTATTTTCTATTATTTTTCATATACTGGCAGACAAGCGGTTAATCTCGCATATGCGTAGTGCTGCTCGTACGAGAGTAATCAGTGAGGAACGAATTAAACTTACCTTAATAAATCGAAATTGGTTTCATTTATTGTCGTATTGTCATTACCGCCTTGTATAAATAAAATATTATGTGAACATCGACAAGTTTGTAACCTCAAGATAATATATGCAGCATAATATAGTCTTACCATGGCAGTATCCTGTTCCTTATTGATGACAGCGTGGCGGTCGAGCCCGTGCAGACGCGGGCGGTGGCGGGACTCGCGCGGCTCGCGTACGTTGCGAACTGACATTCCATCGCTAAATGCGAGATACAACATATAAATTAGCTTAGAGAATGATAAAGATAGCAATATCGATAGTTTTATATTTGAGATGAACATTACTTTTCAATAATAAAACACTGAACAAATTTTTCTTTGTGTATTTATTTTACAGTCATCCTTTGTGTGAAGTGAGGGTATTTTTTTTTTATTTTAAATAACTATAGAAATGTTGATTTAATGTTATTAGGGGATGTATAGTGCAAGTTAATGTATAACACTGATGGAATCACAATGATAAATTAGTTGCTATTGAGTTAAGCGGTTCTAAAGCTCAAAAGTTAAGAAAATCTAAGAAAAAACAAAAATACATGTCTACATTATTACACTTACTTGGTCGAAGTGCGAATTTCTTCTTACTTGTAAAACGATTTTATTTAACATTAAGAATATTTGAATTTTGGCTGTAGTACAATTGAAGAGTATAAAAGGAAAGAGACTATAGATCACTATTTACTATAGATTGATATACTGTTACTACTCGAAGTAGTAATTTTCACACGAAATTAATTGTTCGTGATTAGAGGTTTAATAGCTCGACGACATTAACGACTGTTAAAGTTTTCTGTCAGTTGACAATAAATAATGAACTCAAATAAATGTACGTAAAAGACTTAATACCTCAGTAGCGCCATCTAGTGAGCGCGAAAACAGTGCCTATAGTTTTTTGTTCCTTCAATAGTATTACAACTAAAATTCAAATATTTTGTTGTAGTCAGTAAGGTACTTACACACTGCTGCCGGAGAGCGAGATTGCGTCGGAGTCTGTTCGTCCACTGCTGAGGCTGGCGCGTTCCGAGTCCTGCCGCGAGGCGGGGCAGTAGCCCGCGTACGACACGTGCGCACTGTACACCGAGCGCTTGCGGTGTCTACTGCCACCCGGGATGGGGAAATGGTACCAGGGTATAAGGTCAGGGGATAGGATTGACACCAAATTTTTTTTGTGGGTAATATCGACATCGATATCCATAAAGAATCGATTTTTTATGGTGTCGCCATTCGTAAGAATATTGAGAAGGATAGAAAGGAAGGTAGAGAAGTATTGTGAGGTGGCAAGACAGAGCGTTTAGCGTGTAATACGGCGAACGCAGCGAGCATGCAGCGCGGAACAAAACATGGGGAGCAAACAATACACGGGCACATCAGTCAAGCTGACAGGTGGGGGGGCGCAGTGCTGGACTGGCGCATGCAATGCTAGGGGTCACACTGTTGACAGGGGCAGGCTGACTTGTTGCTTACAAGAACGAAATTTTAAGGTGTTGAATGAAACTTTCGCGTTTTACTTTTCATTCCAACGTTGCTTGCAATTGGTTGGTGGCATTTTTTTTTTGCATTTTAAGCAAATTGCTGCATTGTGCAAATTTTGTAATACTTTAGATATGTGGCAAAAAAAAATCCGAAAATTACAGTCTTAATATAACGCGAATATTCAGCCAGAAGTACAATGAAACCTAAAGTCTATCTTATAAGGTTAAAATTCAAATAAGTTCATCAGTACAGCCCACCTTCTGTCAACTATAAATTCTTTGATACGTCAGCAATAAAAACTGTTGTTCCATCACTTGTAACGCTAAATTTGGAATTTTGTTTTCTACAATACTATAATAAAACTGTGTCTAACTAGGCCAAATTATCTCAAAATAAAATTAAAAAGTTTTGTACTCACAAACTACTGATCAATAAAAATATATGAAAAAAAAAATGTCAACATTGACAAAACGCTTACAGCACTACTCTAATCGACTAAACGAGTACAAAACATAAAAAAAAACTTGCATTTGATTTTCGCAATGAAAATTTTAATTATTATTTATAAATATTTTCAAAAATCGAATGTAAGTTTTTGTATCGACTATATATCTGACATATCTAGTACTATTCACAACGTCTATCTATATCTATGTATAAAGTATAGCGTGAATAAAGCGAGACACTCACGGTGCGACGTCAGAGTGCAGCCGGCGTGACTGTGTCGCGAGGAGCGCATCATGCGTAAGTCGTGCCGCCGGGGCCGCTGCACCCGCGCCCAACTCTTGGCCCTCGTGCAGCGTGGCCAGGCCACCCACTGCCGCCTGCTGGGTTAAAGGATTCTGTAGGATTTGACATGAATGAAATAAAAATTAAATTATTAGGTTAGCTTTATGCACCCTATATTTTTTTATAAAATTTAAAATAAATCGTAATAATTACTCCGCATCTTTTACTTGTAATTTGATCGCTAAATTAAATTAAAACAGCTAATAACTTTTAACATCATATAAAATTGTTAGGTAACATTATAAGGGAGATTGCAAATAAAAAATTTGATAAAAGATGCACTAGTAGTATTTATCAAAAGAAACAATTTAAAAATAGTTTCTAAGTCAGTTCATACCTCTCTAGGTGGATGGGGCGGCGAGGCGTCTGGCGATGACAGAGGTTGCGTGGCGGCGCTAACATACGACACGTACGCGTCCGACCGCAGGAACGACTGGTACGTCGTCTCCGTTATCGCACGCGTCACCTGCGATACGTTATATTGCGATTAAATTGTCTGGATGTGAACAGGTTTTCTTTAACTTTGTAGGTAAAGGAAGTAGTCGTGTTGTAGAATGTCTATCAAAGCTTTACGCCTAAATCTTTACTTTTCTGAAGCAATAGTGGGACTTGACTAAATGCAATTTAGTTCATAAAATTAAAAGTTCGAATTGAAATCTTTTAATCCGACAGACTAACTATGTATTTAGTTTTGTCGGACATTTTTAAATAAAATAGTAAGAATTATTATTCTACTTCATTCATTAATTCATTCATATTATCTACTTCTCCAAGAAAAGTGGCTGCAGGAAGGAACTATATGGGGTAATCCTAGTACTGTGGGTAGACATACCTCCTGTTCCATATTGTCGAATATAGTCTTCTCGATGTTGGAGCCATCCTTGAGGCTCTGCTTCACGTGCTGCTTCAGCTCCTCCGGCATCGCTAGCTGAGATTTGCGGAGGAATCTACAAACAGAACACAACATCATTAATTTTGTAGTTTTAATGGTATATCAAAAATTATTGTTAACACAATAAGTTGGTTCATGCAGGATGCAATGCAAGTCACTATACTTTGCCCGGCATTTGATCGTTATAACGTAAAACTAACACACTACCATTAAATCTAGACTACTAGTATAAAGCTGGAGAGTTTGTTTGAAAGCGCTAATCTCCAGAACTACTGGTTCGAATAGAATAATTTGTGTTTGTTAGTACATTTATCGAGGAAGGCTTTAGGCAATAAAACATCACGCTACGATTTGTAGAAACCGCGCGAGACTAGCCAGTGAATAATATATTTACGCAGTAATAAAATGTAGTTTAGGTACTCACTTGTATATAGCAGAGACGACCTGCCGTATCTTGGAGGGCTCGCACTCCTGGCGCAGGCCCTGCACGGCGAAGTAGAAGTTGAGCCGGTCCACGTGCAGCCCGCCCGCGCCGCTGACGTACTTGCGGAACAATCGCACGCCCTCCGCGTCCTAATGTTAAGGAAACAGTCAGACAATGATACAGTGGGACGTTTTCGATATTTTTAGCTTCGAAGATTGCCTTCATTGGAATATATTTTGAAGACTTTCTTTAACTTTGATGGTTGGTTGCGTCGTGAGAAATGGAAAGGATAGTCCACAACAATGAAAATATATCAACTAGCTAGTTCCAACAATCACTTATTCTGTAAATGGCCATTCAGCTTAATCTTACAAAACCGATAGTGATAAAAAGAAAAAAAGAAAATTGAGAAGGATATTTCTAGATAAAATGAGGAATTGAAGTTCAAAGTTTGAGTCAAGTTACCTCGAGCAACTCGTGGAGGCTGCGTGCCCAGCGCATGTAGGGCGGCGAGGCGGGCGAGCGCGCCGAGCTACCCGACGACCCCTCCGTCTGCTCGCGCCACGCCATGCTGACCCTAAAATAATAACGTATATTAACACCTTCTAAATATACAATTATACACATTTTTTAAATATTAAAACCAACGGTCGCCCATGATGAGACGAGAGCTCCCTTTCGAAATCCCGGCTGAACATCGGCCGTGTGGGCGGCTGGCGGGTGTCGGTCTGTGGCGTCAGTTAGCTCTTTGAGGCGCAAAAGTTTACACAAATATTGCTTATTTCATATCCTAAACGCATTTAGACGTTATTAAGATCAAGCTCAAACTAAAATACTTCTGAAGAAACTGAATTTTAAATGATTTTCTCAAAGAATCATCAATGGATGACTTATAATTTATCAAAAACAAAAGCATCTGTACTTACTTGGACAGATGTGGTTGTGCGAACACATATTTGGACTGAGATTTGTTCTTCTCCTCCCCAGAAGCCGGTGGCAACGACGACCTGTCAGCAAGCTTGTGCTCCCAACCTGAACAGCAAAAAGAATAACCCTGTGATTTAGGGTACTTTTTTGGGTGGAAAAGCCCAAATATATAGACCAAGATAATAGTTACGATCTAAAACACAAAAAAACACTAAAACACTGAAATCTGGCGCAAGTATGGGAGAGCCATGCTTCGGCACGAATGGGTCGGCTCGACCGGAGTGATACCAAGGCCTGCCACGGTGGGTTATGTTCCGCCGTGTGAGTGAGGCTACAGGAGACCCAATCCTTCCCCTTCCCCAAACCCAAAATATCCAAATCCCTCATCTCCAAAAGGTCGGCACCTGTGTGTGCTTGTAACCCATCCGTTGTTGCCGGTGTCCATGGGCGGAGCTGATTGCTTACCATCAGGTAATCAGTCTGCTTGTTTGCCGTCCTAACACATATTAAAACCCAGAGAAATGCATAAGCGTCTTCGGTCCCGCAACGCAATAAATACAAAGATATTATTTTAGGGAAAGAAAAATGATGTCTTAAGTGTTGTGAAGTTAATGATTTCATTGGTAACTCCTTACCTTGCGGGTGGCCGCCTATAGGAGTGTGGCTCATGGCGCACAGGCCCTTCTCCCACCCGCGCGCTGCATGGCGAGACACCACCTAGACACACAAAAAAAGAACACATAAGTATAACACATGGTTTTAATAAACTAAGCCAAAGCATGCCTTGCACTTTGCCTTGCCTATGAAAAGAAAATGTCAGCCTAAAAATGCTAACCACCACTATTATAAAGCTATAGTTCAAATATAATATACCCTTTAGTCCACCACTGGTATTTACCTCAGGTCTAATTTTCCTTAAAAAATATGCATTACCAAGCCGTTTTACACCCATTCTTAACAACATAATATGATTAGGTAAACTATCAATAACACTTATTTAAACTTGATGCACCAACACTAAACTGGAATTATGAGGGACAAGCTTACTAAGGCATCAATATCAGTAAAAAAAGTTGTGAATATACCCAAGCGTCCCATCCTCAAATCAAAAGTTGAAAGAACTGCGCACCAAGCCACATAAAAAAATCAATATGGCAAACAATAAGTATCATACCCAGTGTTCTTGATTTCTATAAGTTAAAAAGAGATGGCAATAAAAAATGAGACAGCGTACTGAAGTCAAGAGTCTCCGGCATCGATCGGTGCTGGAAGCTAACATCACATCTAAGCGTGACTTCTATAGAAACTTTATATGAAAGCCGCTTCCATTATAAAGTAATCCACTTATTACACATCCAGTATAAAGAATTAAATATCATATTTCATAAAACTCTTCAAAAAAATATTACCGTTCCATTATTAAAGAGATCAGTATAATAATGATTCTATAATTTTTACCCAACCATTCCAAATTACATACTTATGAAAAAGGGACAGATTATAAAAGAGCATGTCAAAACAAATTAAATCATAACTTCACGGTTGAATAAACAAGTTATGATAAAAAAAAAAACATAATAGACCCACAAAAAATTATAAAGGACCTCACCATATTCATTGTGCTTAAATAAACAATACACTTCTTAAATCTACCAGTTAATAGAATTATATCTGAATATTATAACTTGATATTAGTAATATTTGCTCACAAAAACTTTTTTCTGAGAACAGCACGACTGCACAACGCTACCGCAGCAGACTGAGTGAAAGATCCATAGACGGAGGCTGAATGTTCAACACAATAGGGTACGGACTAATCTCATGCCCTTATATTTTGTATAGTGGCCGTGCTTGTGATAGGGTTTATTATAAATATGAAATCAATAACTGACAACAAAAAAGGTTTCTTGAAACTGGGGTGCACAGAATATCATGAGTTTTGTTATGTAATTATGCATTATTTTATTCAGTATCATAAGGTTTAAAGAAACCTTACACATACACATCCTAAACATTTTATCAAAGTAACAAAATAATATAAAGTACTTAATTATAGTTTTTGAAGATGTCGTAGTGCAGGCGTGTTATAAAGCGTCACATTGTACAAAATTCAACAAATTTTCATTGAACATGACTAGCATAAACACAGGAAACAAGTTGTAAACAATGGCACAGCTCGTAAAAAGTGCCGTCGCGGTAACAATCCCGACGTGTAAAATTATCAGTACAATACAAGTAATAAGCCGAGACCTTCAATTTTATCTAATAACGGATCATCACAGTCAGAATTGACGGCAATAAATGCTATTTATCCCAAAATATCATGCCGAAACCCGGAAGGGCTGTATTTATAGAACGATAAATGAAAGAAAACTTACATGAAAACGGTTACTCTCACTTAACACGAAACTTTTCAAAGTCACCGCGAAAGATAACTACCGACATTAATTAAGAACTTTCTTCGAAATTAATAATAAATTAGCTTGAATTGGTTTTGTATACAACACTGAAGTTTGACACATGTTTGACAATCAGCCATAGCAGGCAGCTGTTGTTCAACGCCATCTCTCGACGTCGCCAGAAATCACAGCCAATGTTCATAAAATGACAGACGCGTATGATTTCACGCTTAGAAATGCCACTAGATGACAGTACATGTCTCAAACGGTACGGGCTATTTCTCGGCGCGGCAAAAATAAATTAAAACAGAGTGTGATAACTTTGTGATTTTACTTTACTGTTTCAAAAAACCAATCATAAAAACTTTAGATACCTGTGTAGCAGCTTAATGCCGCTGCATGACTGTTTTTTTGTGTCTTGTCAATTCACTGCGTACTATCTGAAACAACAAAAAAATATGGTTAATAACTATTTTATTGTTAATTGTTATTACTATTGTGGGTGACGAGGCAACGGCTCTTCCAATAACTTCACAAAAATATACACTTAGTAAATTAGTTCTAAGAAAACATTGTAATATCTACTTTTTCTGTTTACAAATTCATCGAAATACTTACGAAGTAAAGTTATTTGTAAGACGGTGTAGGCATCTTAAGTAGGTGTGTTACGGCGTCATAATATTCACCTTTTGAAGGCGAATTAATTTGAGGATTCCAACTCGATTTACAGATGAAATGAATAGATAGATATCAAAGACGTTTCTCTGAGTATAGCTCTGATATTTGATTTCGTGAAGATCAGACAGACGGCAAAATTGATTTGTCAAAATCCTTGTAGGTACACCTAATAATATATTGTAATTTGACTGTCGCTGGGGTCTCAAATTATTGATTTATCAAGTGTACCCACGCATAATGATAATAGTTGTTTATTTAATATTATAAATGTTTGATGGCAACTCAAAATGTTCATTAATTTTAATTTATTGATTTTACGCATTTTTATATACTGCCGTACTCAGAGATATTTAATGATAGATTTAAATATTCCTTAGTCAACTGATTTGTTCCGATTATTGCCAAGGGTTAAGTAATCGTTTAATGGCTCTGAGTCCAAGCATGACTATAAAATATTCCACAAATTATTAGGGTAAAACCGGGATAGTTGCCCCACTTTTTGAAAAGGCTCTCTAATTTTCAAACTGTACGTGATCCATGAAGAATTCCCATGAATGTTAAAAGTTTCATCTTTTTACTAGCAATACGGCTCGTTTTTGTTGATTTAACAATAACAGATTCTGCATAAATTGAGTTTTTGCAAACCCATTTTTTTGAGGATAGATGCCTACCTATATGGATAGACGCCTCACTATGAAAATGCTGGGGAGGATAGATGCCTGTGATGTAGGATAGACGCCATATAGATTGAAATAAGTAAAATACATAGTTTTGTTATGTTATTTATTTGTACTATTTAGGTAATTTTTATAATGGTATCCTTAATCACTTGTTTAAGAAATAAAAAAAAACAAAATTTTAATGTGCACAAGCAGATAAGCAAGGTTATATTAAAATAAAATTTAAAATACTTAATAAAAAACTGAGATCTATAATTTTCAATTATCAACATAATTAAATTTAAAAAAATCAACATAAGTAAATTTTGTCCTTTGGCGAATTAGAAAGAGCTTTCAGTTTGCCACATCTTGAGCAATAATTTCTAAACAGTGTACAAATTTCGTGCAGCCACTTCTGGCACGATATGCACCGAATCCAATCAGACTTTGACTTTGTATGTTGATAGCTATCAAAGCATTCTATGCAATAATAGTTATCGTCTGTTTCTTTTGGGCTTTCTTGGTTATCCCTCTTTGTTTTCTTTACAGGCAAACCTTGAGTTTTTTTTCCTCTAGTTTTATAATATGTTGTTGTGGGTGTTTCATCACTATCACTATCTGTTGTATCATTTTCTTTAGTTTTTTTATTTGTACTAATTTTCGTTTTCCTTTGGTAGTCTCAGTCTTATTTCTTTTGTCTAATTTAGGTTTTTGTTTACTCTTCTTCTCAGCTGTAATCATCTTTTCTTCTATTTTTTTCTTTTGAATTTAGAATATCTGCTGATTGCTTGGTCCTCTTAGCCATTGTCAAGGGTATTTGAGGTATTGGCGACGCTTGTACAAACCATCAGTAGAGATCTATATGAAAACGCAATAACAATTATATAAAAATAATAATTTTAAACATATGCTATCATAATATGTATAGGTTATGGGGATAGATGCCCCTAAGGGCACCTATACCGCGAAAAATTGGGGCGACTATCCTTTTTGCTATGGATAGATGCCCTTTTATTTTTTGACTTAAATAAAAACAAAAGGTCAATTATTGATAAGTAGATATAAAGTTAATTAACCAATATATACATATAAAAAAATTGAACAGAATTAATTACTATATAAAAAAGATACGTAACAGTAAATACTTACGTTTGAAACTTTGAAGCACTCGTCGTGTTCGTCGCGGAGATAATCGTATGCACGAGCGAAACACGTCAATCCCGCGCGATGGTCTGCGGGGCAATGAGAGGGGGTCGCAACGTATTCTATTTTTAGACTATTATCACTGTGTTACGTTTTTGCGAAGTTAGGTTTTTAGAAAATGGGGCATCTATCCAGCTGCGGCATCTATCCCGGATTTACCCTATATTAATCTATACTTCGGCCTTTCAAAAGCGTATTTCTATAAAGAAATTAAATTAGACGGCTATCTGTTACAACACTACACAACGTCTTGTAATTGGTAGTCTCAATGTTGCCATTAGAAATGTTATTGCAGTGCTTGCAAGTATTTTTACGAACCTCAAATTGAACGAAATAATATTAAGTTTTTCGTTGTAGTTAAGTAGCTAATTATACATTTTATCATGTGACATAACTTCAGGGAAAATAAACTTTTACATTAACTCAATAAACTTCACACAAGTCATAAAACACGTTTCAACAAAACAATTGACACGTCCATAAACAAGAGGATCATTGTAAAACAAGCTATTAGCGTGTCACGCACATTTAATTGTAAAATATACTTTGAAATTTGGTAATAAAGTTTTACTCCGACGCTAATAATGCTTTTCATGTTTCTCGACTGATCTTGTATAGATACCGCGGAACATCCCTATAACTTCATTAGCTGTAGCGATTAATCGACTATCGATATCGATAAAGGCCCGCCCCCAAAGCGTCATTAGCCGAGAGCACGCACTAAGCGACTCTTTGATGTGCGCAAACTTTTCGTTTCCCTTTGATTGGCATAATGGAACTGTGCGTTGTTATTACACTAATTGAATTTTCGCAAAGTCCGAGCCGTATTACGGAACGGATTTAGTAACATTCTGTTTGTCCCTGTTCACGTTCCTAGGGGCTTTTAATTTATTTGAAGCTTTATAATTTGTACTAAGTATCATTGCTTAAAACTCGACTCTATATTAATTGAAACCAGTGACACAAATCAATGGCTAAGTTGTATTTCTAAATTTATTTTGTGGATTAAGCGGCTTACTTGTACAACTTATCGACTAATGCGACATTTTTTATATAAAAATAAACATTAAAAGCTACATAATAATTACCTCAGCATAATATTTGCTTTGGCTTATAACTTAATTTCACTAGGCAGACATAGTATCACTGAGTAAAGATAAATTTTCTATGAAGTGAAGTTAAAAGGGAAAATACGACTGTATGATTGGTTTTACAAGTCAGCAAGATCAAAGGCCCTGTAGTCCTTTCATTTTAGGCCGCCATTCGCGGATTACATTAAAAAAGAGAGAAAGAAAATGTAGAAAGTTAATTATAGGTATTTAAGTGAAACAGTCACAGATAAAAGAATCACTGATTACAGACTAAAGCCTAAATAAATCCTTTGAAGAAGAGGTTTCGCTTTTTTGGCGCGTGGCTTACGTATTAATACGACTTGTATAAAATTACTTACGCACAAACAAATTGGTTTTCCTTTGAAAGTTCCATCAGTGTTTCGTTTATTTTTAACTAAATAATTTATTTTATATCATAAATGTTTGTTTGCGTAATTAGAATCTTGAAATCCAAGCGAGTTTCAACGATTTTGATTCTTGTTTTGTGACTACTTAAGTAAAGTACAGACGCTTTTGACGAAATTAGCGTATTGTTGGCAGAGCAGTGTAGAAAATATTTCAACGTTA